TAGAAGGAAAATGAAGGAAAAAAAGTGGTGTTTTGCATTTGGTTCACAAAACCCATTAGTCTTTATCGTCTTAAATTTCTTTTTAAGATGCTGTAACTGAATTGCACAAATTACATGGCCTTCCTACTGTTGTTTTGCTTCTATTCCCAGGAACTCTAAAGGGCATGATCTGGTGATGAGGAATCCTATTTCCTATCCAAGCTGTCAAATTGAAAATGGCTTCATGGGAGTTTTAGGAAGGCCTAGGATATTTCTTTATGATTATTTGAAAGTATTCAAAATCAAAGTGGGTGAATTAACTTTTGCACTTTTTAGGTGGGGAGTAAGGTTCTCTGTCCAAAGTGGGTACTCTGTTAGCAAAGATGATGTTGCTGCTTAAGTAAGCTATTGATATGAATGGTTACTTAGAGATAACATTTTGTGAATGGACAGGTACTTTTGCTTCATTTTTTGTATTTTCTTCTTACTACACAGGACTGTGGCAGCTGAAGTGAGGAAGCAGGTATCTCGAGAATATGGTAACTCTCCGCAACTTTCGAAGAAGCGTGGTGGCATCCCCCAGTCGGTGAGTTCGCTGGCACTGTATTGTGAGATGGCTCTATGAGAAAACATTCTAACATTTAATTAATAACTGGAGTTAACATAGCATTGATCCATGGCAGATAAAGTAATGCCAGACTACATTAATTCTATAGTGTACATTCACCCCCGAATCATTATATAGCAGGCATGCCTATTTTGCCTATACTCTTGGAGGAATTCTTTTCGTGTATATGCTCATGTAGAAGTTGACCTCATGCATAAATCAAGGCAAGTTTTGGGGCCAATATTGTGGATTATTCTGCAGAAAATGAAAAGGGTCAGCCTATCTTCAGGGGTAACTGACCCTTGCTGTCATTGCCATATCCCCACTCAGCCTTTCAAAAAAGGCCCTTTTTTATACATTCTCCTAGGACAAGAAGGTACAGAGCTAAAATTGACCCCTGGATAACTTGACCAAGGTTTTTTTAGACTAAAATTTAAACTATATGAGATTTGACTTTGAGAGACCTTTATCCTCTTTTTAGTTCTTATATGCATCTCTACATGGCATCTTTTTGTTTTTCCTGAGTTCAGAACATATTATTATTATTAATAATAATAATAATAATAATAGCAACTTTATTTATATACCACCCCATCTCCCCAAAGGGACTCAGGGTGGCTTACGAGGCAAAACAGAGCACATAAAATATACAACAAAATTAGCTAAAATCAGTAAAAACACTGAGTAACATAAAATAACAGCATACGGGGATTTACGTAGAACACCTCAATCAAAATAAAATAACCAATAGAAACACAACAATAAATTGGAAGTAAAAGCAACTATACACACTGAAAGTGCATCTACACTGTAGAGCGAATGCAGTTTCATTAACTGTCATGACTCAATGCTATGGAATCCTGGGACTCATAGTTTTACAAGGTCTTTAGCCTTCTGTGCTGAAGAGTGATGCGTCTTGCCCAACTACAAGTCCATAGCATTGAGCCATGGCAATTAGTGGTGTTAAACTTCATTAAATCTACTGGGTAAGCATGCTCTAAGGAAAAAATAACTTGTAGCTTCTTGGTGGTGGAATTGTGTGCTCCAGTGACACAAGAAGTTATGTTTCTGGTAAAAGTAGTGCCAGTAGGGTTTCAGTCAGGATTCTGCTAGGGACAAGGCTAAATGTGCCAATGAAGTGTGAGGCAGCAGGAGCAGTGTGTGAGTGACACTGACAGATAAACTCTCAGAGGCATATTAGCTAATTCTGACAAGAGTAATGGCAGTTTAGCCAATAAATGATTTTGTGCTGCACAGAAGACAGCAGCGCTAGACTGTTTCTGAACTCCTTTTGACTCAACAATCGTATAAAGAGACAATTCAAGAACAAATAGAACAAATAGAGCAGTAAAATGAGACTCCTAGGTTTGCAGTGAGCATACTGTTCACTTCAAAATTCATTTCATTCGCTCTCCCACTTCATTTCTTGAGTCCAGGTCAAATTCTTATACAATGTTTGGAACTGCTCTCTTTCCAGTTACCTGTGATAAGTAACATGCTCTGCTTGGCTGTGTGATCAATTCCTTTCTGGATTTCTGCATAGAAATTTCATTTTCTTCCTTATCTGCCTCTTTGGAGCACAAATTTGGATTACAATTATATTTATTAGTTTTTTTTATGAAGTCAAGTTTATATTATTAGGCCAGACTTCAGAATTGATTCACGGACTGCTTTTCTACATCTGGTCTTCACAGTTAATACCACCCCATTTCTTTGATTGCCACTTCCAAAGATATACACTGTATGAAAATCTCCAGTTCCTGTTCACACCAAGTATGACTATTCCTAGGTGTAACATTTCTTGTTTTATGATTTCTAGTTCATCCTTCTTGCACTCCCATGTTCCTACTACCTACATACATCACATGGCATCTGACTTTTCTTTCACTTCTGTGTATGTCAGCAGCTGAACATTCAGCTTGAATTCAACATTAGCCACAGGGCTACTCATACTTCCCTCTGCTCTTCCCTGTTCACTGGTTTAGTGCATTTCAGCCTAGAAGTCTCATCTTCCTGTTTTATCTCTTGATTTACCCATAGAGTTCATCATTGCGTTCTATGCAATACTGATAAGGATTAATTAAAAGCCACTACCATTGACTCTGAAGAGATCTCATGCCAGTGTCACCTGCACCCCTTGCTACTGCTGCAGCCCAGTACTGTTTGGCATGCTTAGTCTGGCTCTGCAACTAAAGTCTAGATGATTGGGAGATCCTACCAATAGTGATGCTATGATCAGCATATCCTCTTGCTACATAGGAGCAGTCAGTCCAACTACTATGGAAAGATAATGCCATAGTGGGATAGTGTAGATAGTATTAATTAGAAGTCTGGCTTTCTATTCTCATCATTCAGATACACATGTAAAGATGTACATGATACAATGACACTAGATATTTGAGTATCAGCTGTGTTGGAAGTTGGCACTGCAGATATACAATAAAAAAGTTATGGTGTTGAATTTGTTCTAAGGGAAATATAAAACAGATATACTTTTTCAGCATCTTGAGAGATTTTCTCACTGTAGTGCAAATTGTTACTCAATGGCATCCTTTAAAAATTTGCTCTAGCTATTTGTACAAGACAATGGTTAGTTTATGTGTATTTTTTGTACTGATCAGCCACTACGGTTTAGGGACATCTTTTATCACAAATTAAATAGAGGCAAGATTTTTGAGTTTTGTCATTTCACATGGGACAAGCAGTTGGACCAGTATGTCCATCTATTATTAGATATAATCTGAAGTTGATTAGCTGTGGCACAGAAATATCTATTAACTATGTCCAGATAAAACTGGATCTAGGTGGACTGTTTGTTTGAGGAATGTATACATCTGTTCATAGACGAACAAACAAGTCTTGACTGTCCTTTCATTATTAATTTTTTTTACTCATATAGGAAGATTTTTTGAAGACATCTTCAAAGCATTTTTATAAATGCATACAGTGTCAGCATAACAAAGTGGAACGACGTAGATTTAAGATTAAAGGAGGCTATGATATTAGAAGTGACAAGCAGCAAAATATGACAAAAGGGAGCAGTCAACCAAAATCAGTTCCCTCAAAGGGTTTTGAAATGTACATCTGTATGACACACACTGTTAACAGAAGATAACGCTGATCTAATCTCACAATTTAGCAGTCATGGGGATCTGAGATTCCTCATCTGTGCACAAACTGAACTGAGCAATTTTTAAGGGGTGGGGAAGTTAGAGTGTGACAGCTTTAAAGTCTCGTATTACTTCTGCTTTCTACAGGGAATGACCTGAGAAAAAATTGTTTCATAGGAATGTTTAGAGCTATTCCTTCATCTTGCATCCATTCTCAATATGGGAACACTTTTTCATTGCTGGAATGGCAAGTTGAAATGATTCAGCAGTGCATTATCCCAGTCAGTTAAGCTTGGGGGTATTAGTCCTTTCCTTCCTGGCTGCTTTCTTCTGGGCTGGAATTGAATCCCGGCCTGCCACTTAGCTCACTCCATGCAATTTGCTTAGCGGAAAAAAGTATGGCCAGCATAATGTCATTGCATAAGAGACAGAATTGGTATCCTCATCTATCAACCAAGATCCTTGGTGCTTTATAGATGTACAGGACCTGGAGAAGATCTGCTATAATTTCTGCGTTTTAGCTATTGCTATCATCTGTTGTTTTACAGGTAGAGTATTCTTATTCAAAATGGGATCAAAAGTGCTTTGGATTTCAATTGGAGAGGAGGTGGGTGGTGATGGAATACCTGTATTTGCATATGTACAAATAGTGAGCTCTCTTGGAGATTGGACCCAAGTCTAAACATGAAATTCATCCATGTTTTATATACACTTTATACACATGGACTGAAGGTAATTTTATACAATATTTTAAATAATGTTGTGCATGAAACAAATAAACAACAAACCATCCCAGCCACCCATGTGGCTACTTTTGGATTTTGGAGTATTTTGGAATTCTAGATAAGAAATGCTGAAGACAGCTGGACGTCCTATTGCATGGTTTCCCAAAACAGTTGTTCAGAATTTGTGGATTCACTGCTGGAGAACAGGATAGATTTTTCCATCTCCCAGATGTGAAAGATTTTAGAACTTGAAATTATTTGACTAAGGCTTGGCAACGAAAATGGAGATCCCTTTGGAAGGGTGTGTGTTTTGATTCCTCAGCACCACACCCCATTATTGCAGGTTTCTTCTGCTCTCTGGATTGTGCCAGCTATCCTTTGGTTCTGAAATCTTTCAATTGAGTTTTCCCGGTATTCTGTTGTGCAGGGGAAGTGTCAGAATTAGACATTAAGACTCTCAGGAAGCATAGCCACCTGCTCCTTTCTTGTGCAGCCAGCAACAGCGGGACAGTTGGTACTCTGATGGTGTTGCTGTCTGGTGTTCAAGTTATGTAATCTGCCAAGTGGGAAAGAGACATGTTTGCCTTCCGCTTTTTGCCATTTGTCATGAGAACAAATGCTCTCTTTTGGGACATTTCCAAGTGATCTGTAACATGCCATGCCACGGTGTCTCAGGAGAGGAAAAAGTCCTCCCACTGGCAGCTGTTTCCTCCTGTTTTTCACTGAACAATAAAGGTTCGGCAGTCTTATAGCTCCCTGAACCTGCTTCCATTGTCATTATGAAGTCAGGACTGAAGCTGCTTACTTGTATGATGCTATGGATTGATTTTGAGAGTTAGCTTTGGGAGCCAAAGTGGTTTGTGATATTTAAGGTGACAATGAGATGGATGTTAAAATAAATGACTCTCCTAGAATGCCATATGCCTTGTTTGAGAGGATCATAATCTGGTTTGTATAACCTCCTCATACTTTTCCCAACTGCCTCTCTTAAGGCTACTATGAGCAAGGAATTCCCCCATAGTTTTATCTAATTTGTTGTGTTGCCATTGCCACTTCTGCTGTTGTGTGCCTTCACATCATTGTTTACTTGTAATGATCTTAAGATGACTTTTGATTTCTTGGGAGGATTTGTACAGAGGGAGGTTGCTTTTGCCTTCCTGTGAGGCAGAGAGAGTGTGAGCTGCCTAAGATTACCCAAGAGATTTCCATGGCCAGGGAGGGATCAGTATTCTGGTCTCCCAAAAGGGTTTTCTTGGCAAGATTTGCTCAGAGAGGGTTTGCCTTTGCTTTCCTATCTGAGGAAATGTGTCTTGCTCATGATCACCCAGTGTGTTTTCATTACCATGGCGGAGATTTGAACCATGGTTTCCAGAGTCATAGTCCATTGGTAAAACCACAAAGCCATGCTGACTCTGATAGAGTGCTGTCATGCAAATCCAGAAGTGTTGTGTAAGATCACTGAATGACAGTTTCATCCCTATGAAGAAATCTCCATAATCTGGGTATCATACACTACACCAGGTATGGCTTAGATCCAATTCAGCTGATGCAGCTTAAGTGTGTGAGCCCCACCACATGCTCCTTTCTCATCTGCACCCCCCCTTGTCATCTTGATTCCCTTCCAGGTGCCTCTGACAGAAGTGGTGGAACCAGTAGACTTTGAGGAGTACCTCTCCAGCCACCTGCCAGATGCTGAGCCTGGCCCACTTCGTGACCTGGTTGAGTTTCCTGGTGATGACTTGGAGGTGATCCATGAACCCCGAGATTGTCGGACACTGGAACCGGGAGTCCCTGAAGATGGGTAAGTGGCATGATAAGTAGTTATTGATCACTTCGCTTCTCACTTCGCTTCTTCTGTTACCTAGTACTTTTCTCTTCCTGCAACCTTTCAATCCATTGTCCAATCATTCTTCCAGATATAAAAGTCATAGGATGTGCCAGTGTAAGTCAGTTGTGATTTAATAATCATATTTGGAATTTTTTTGGCAAGATTTGTTCAGAGGAAGTTCGCCTTTGCCTTCTCCTAAGGCCAAAAATTCAACTTGCCCGAGGTCACCCCCTTGCAGGCGTTCAAATCCAGATCTTCTGAAGCTCTTTCCAGCACTCAAAACAGCTACACTTTGCTGTCTCAGCCCTTAATTATGATCTTCCAAATTTATACCTTCATCACTGCAGGATATATTTCTCAAAGCCTATTTTGAATGACATTCTGGAGATGACATTTTGGAGGTAATACAGGTGTAGCTCACAGGTGGAAATCTTCTACGATCTTGCAATCTGATATTTCCAATGAGTTCTTTCTGCAGGTCTTCTCTGTAAAATATGTAAACTATAATTTCTTGAGGATTTTCATATCTACCCCTCTAAGGAATCCTGTAGCAAAGCAGCAGAGAAGAAGGAAAATAGATCTTGGAGTACTCTTTTTTGTATGATGGGAAACTAAGCTTCAGGAACATATTAAAATGTCACAAAAATAATGGCCATGAACTACTGCATAACCTTTCTCTGCTTGCTCACCACTAATGCACACAAAAGAGATAAAAGAGGAGAGTCTTATTTGAAGTAACACATACAATGGCTAATTAGTGAGGGAAGTTTGTGGCAAGGGACTAGATGGTCCCTTAAGTAATTTCAAAACTACACTTTTGGAGACAACCCAATATATTTTCAAATGGGCTTTTCAATGAGTTTCAGCTAGGAGTATGTACGTGAAGATGGTGAATTAAAAACTGGAGCAGAATCAAGTGTTGATCTGAAATTAATATTCTGCATATGCAGTACACTTCAGTCTTAAGGAAGAGAAACAGCAACACGTTCACTTATTTCTGTGTGTGTACCTGTATGAAACTGGATACCCTTTTCTGCATGAATGTAGCTCATAGATAGTTCATTCGTTAAGCCTGATTTCTGTACCAACCAACAGCTGAACCAATTTGGGTGGTTCACAAAACAAAAGCTGTAACATACACTAAATATAATTAGTATAATGAATAAAATAAAGTGATTCTAATTGTTGTGTCTATAGACTAAAGGCAAAATAAACCAAGAAAATAATTTAAAATGCAGTAAAGACTGAAAAGCCCAGAGAACAAAGATATGCATTTGCAATGGAGGTACATGTAAGAGGAGATACTAATTAGATAACCTGATTTAAGCTAAATACAATCAATTTAAGACTCTGAAGATTAGTACCAGCCCTTTTGAACTCAGAAACAGAGTGGAGGCCAGGGCATAACACTGTATTTTGATGTAATGTGAATAATACAATCCAATCCCAGTTAACTTTCTTGATGCTGAAATTCAGACTAGCTGAAGTTCCTTGACTATTTTAAAAGGCAGCCCCTTGCAGTGACCCAAACAGGAGGTTACCAGAATGTAGATGATTGCCTCAAGGCTACCCTGTCCAGTTGCTATATTAGCTTAAACAGATAAAAGATCCTCAAAGCATCTGTATCTCCAGTAGCAGTACTATTTACAAGGAAAAGTGAACTGAATGTGGTCCTTCAGAGCTCTGTAACACATTTGGTTCTTTGCCTTCTTGCAGGGGACAGATGAACTGTTTAGAGACAGAACATCTGTTTTGTCTGGATTAAGTCCCAGATCAATAAACTGAGACTTAATTCAGACAAGATGATCTTCTGGATGATAATTCATCTGCCCTCTGCAGAGAGGCAGTATTTGAGCTTATTGATCTCCATCTGGTTTCAAAGAACCACTATCTCACCTGGATTCAGTGAAAAGGAGAAATAGATCTGCCATCTACATTTTGTTGACACCTCAGTCACCTCAGATGATATCTCACGCTATTTTTGTCTGGATGTTAAAAAAGCATGGAGAATGCAATAGTGTTCTGCCAAATTCAGTAATGCAGTGATGGTGAATCTTTTAGAGACCATGTGCCCAAACTGGGAGGGGGGCACTCGAGGTGAGGGTGGGATGGGAGGTGGGTGAGTGAACGGGTGAGTGCGGGGAGGGGGCATGGCCAGCAAGGGGTGGGTGACGCCCTGTGTGCCAGGAGAGAGGGTGCTACATGTTCCTTTTTACACATGTGCCATAGGTTTGTCACCACTGCTGTAATGTAACTCCTACCAATAAGTCTCCAGCTCCCCCTTGTGGACTGACTGTCCAAATGGAAGTAGAACTAGTGCAATGCACTTACCCACAGGTCCCATCCCAGAGAGTGTTATGCAAATGAATCCCACAATCACTGAAGTTGAAAGCTTCTGAGAAGTTTAGGAAAACTGATAGGGTCAGGATTCACCCCTTCTGTCTGTCAGTTGGGAGTCATTCCAGTTTCCATTTGAAACCTTAAACCTTGATCAAAATCTATATAAATAAAAATGTAATGTTCGTTTGTGGGATTAACATAACTTCAAAAACCACTGGGACGAATTGACACCAAATTTGGACACAATACACTTCAGGCCAATGAGTGATCATCACTCATAAAAACACTGAAAAACACAACGGAAAATACTTAAAAAACCTAAAAAATAAAAATACATTACAACACATGGGCAAAACCACATATATACACATATGCACAAATATATACACATATATGCACACACAAAATATGAATATACATACATATACACATATATGCACACACAGACTGGGCCTGAATGTGTGGCAGGGGGCAGCTAATGGATATGTAAAATTGATTTCACACAAAAGTGCCTAAACGTTTCTGGTAACTATTTGTTAGAGCTTCTTGCACAGACAGAGAATGTTTGATTATTCAGGTTAAGGTATGGGTTTCTTCAACAGTCGCTGTCTTTCAAAGAGGCAGCTATAACCTACAACTCATTCACCCAATGATGAATTCACAGATATCTGAATCTAGCCAGGCATCTCCTTTCTAGTAGGCATTATAAGACAAGAGGGCACTGGATTCAGAGTACAGGCACTTAGTAGGGCACCTTGTCCACATCCTCAGTCTTCAACAGAGGGATTTTATAGAAGAAAACTGGTTGCATTGTACCCTAGACCCCACTTTCAAAGGAACTGCATTAAATACAGAGTCTTAAGTCATGGCATGCAAAATCAGCATTGCATAAGTTTGATATAGTTTGAAATGAAAAATTCAGTCATTTCTCTCTGAGGGTCAGATTTCATCAAACTTTTAACTATCCAGAATAATGAGATAAGAAGATGTCCTCATCACTACTGCAATGTAACCTCAATAATATGATTGAACTGTCTTTGGGTAGACAGTTTCTGGTAAAGTATCTTTATTACTTTCTTTTCAAGAGTGTTGTTTGGAGCATTGAGACAAGGCATTGCAAGGGAAATTACACTGGGCTGAGGTCTTCTACACCATTTGTGTTAAAACTAGTGGCTTGAGTTTTGATCCAGAATACAGCAGACATGCAATTGCTTCCGTATTGATAAATTGCAGCAGCATATTCTGCTGTTTGAATCATTAAGTCTTTGAATTGTGGTTGGGGTTTTTCCATGTGGACAGCAGTGTCCCATTTTTCTACAAAGCCAAGAGTGATGGCTGACTGATGCACATCTGAAAGGAAAGGCTGCCTTGCCAGGCAGTGAAATATCTTCTTTGCTGCCATTGAAACTTAGGACAGCTCTGGATTTTGAATCTGAATGACACAAAGAAGGTTCGTCTTAGGAGAACCAAGTCAGTTGCTTACAGGGATCAGGCTTCCAGGATTGGGGTGTTTTGAGCTCAATTGGAGAAGAGTATACACAGGTGAAGTTAGACGGTGTTTCTTAAAAATGTGAGGGCCAAATATGTTGAAATTTATTCAAAATTGTCCTGGCATATAAGCTTGTAGAAGTTACTGACACGTTGTTATTGTCATTTTAACTAGGCTACACATTTTGTAATCAAAACCTCTTCCCTCTTCTTTCTTCTACAGGAAACAAGATGCCCGTGTACGGGATGCTGTACAAGTCTATACAGAAAACTGGGTTATTGTCCAGAGGAAGTAAGTTTGGTAATTCCGCACTTGCAGCTTGCTTAGGAAAGGATGACATACTGTCATTGTGGTATTAGTGCTGGGGAATTTAATATGAAGAGTGAAATATTTTGAATATGAGCTCACAGTGCACTGCTTAAATCATGATTGATGGATGTGATTGTTTGTAGGCACTAGATTTCACATCATCCCATTTTCGAGAGCAAGCCACATAGCAGGGTAGGTCTCTCCTCTGTAGAACTCTCTGCTCTCATCCCATATAAGGGTGTACAGCTCTTTGAACGTGGCAGTTAGATGGTGTTTGGATTTGTCCATGACACATTTTCCTGATTGGGACAATTAACTTTAGGTGAAGGAACCTAGCCAATACTTGAAGGAACCGTTCCTCATAGCACTAGACAATCAAGGCACTTGTCTTGCCCTGGTTGGGACAGCAAGTAGCAGGTGAAGAAACCCAGTTGTCATATTCACAAGGCACTTCTGCAGATGCCAACTGACTCAGCAACGTTTTTTACTCCTCCTGCACCTTGCATGATTGGTGGCGGTTAAAGGGGAATGAAGCACAGTTAGCATTGTTTTTGATGGGTGCTTATTGAAAGTGCAGAGTACCAAGATGGATTTCTTGCCCATTCTTCTTCACCCTCCTCAGCTTCCTGATTGATGGGAGTGGGGGAGAATTGGTGAGAGACTCACCTATGGGAAAGAGCCTTACACAGTGAAGGATCCACAAAATTCCCACACTTTTCTTCTTTTGGGCCTTCTGTTAAAACACTTGGGGATAATTTATTTGCCATTCATTAAAGAGTGCACTAATGTATTATGTAAGCTTTTATTTTGTGGCATTGATCATTTTATGCATAGATCTGTATCTCAAGTCTTTTCAGTAATTATTGTTTTAAAAGTAGCAGAGGAGGAGGTCTTGCCCTCTGATGTTCCACCTGAATGCTGTAGGTAAAGACATGCCAACCTTGTTTATTGCGAGTCTTTCAAGCGGAGTTGATTCTGTCAGACAAGATTTCCCTTGACTTCTGCATAACAAACATTTCAGTGCCCCACCCCATAGCCTGTGGCTGATGACTTGCTTCACTAAGCAGGTGGGTCTTGTTGATTCTCAGTATATTTTGAACCAGGGTTCAGCTGTATTCAAAATATAGATGACATCAGAAGAAGTCATAGGGTTCCTTCCCCATCTAAGTGTCCATTTGAAGTTCTGTGATTTTTAGTTCACAGTGAAACAGTCAATTCTTCTCTTGAGGAGCCCAGAACATCACAATAGTAGTCACTACCAATGCATAAAGCAAACATGTTATTAATATGTTGTAATGTAGTTAATTCTGGCTTTCAGGAGGAGGCCATAAGACTTGTTTTGGTCACCATATTTTTTGCCACAGTGTAACAGAGACACCAAGGAAATAACTAAAGCTATAGCCATACAAGTAGATACCATTCTAGCTTGAGCCACCCTTACATTCTTGGTGCTTGGTCTTACTGCTTCAGTACTTGCTTCCAAAATCCACAGAGGAATCAGTTATATGGTTTTGAGGCAGTTCCTAATTTTAATTATTTGTACAGAGCCTTGATGTAGTTCAACCATGAAAATGTGACTTATTCAATTTTCTTCTTTGACTCCAATAATAATACTAACCTTTTATTTATTGTTTGTCTCTCCTCATGGCTCAAGGCGGGGCACAATCAATTCAATTCAAAAACATATGAACAGAAAATATATACAATAAAATCCATAGGTAAAACACACAAAAAAACTTGCACCAAACACAGATCCTGAATTGACATATAGTGGCAATAGAATGTAAATCAAAACTCATGAATGAAAGTTGACTGGGTAGGACTTCCAGAAGAGATGGTGCTGGTGCACAAACCATTGGCTGTTGGTCCCTGACATGTTTCCATGAAGGAAAGAAATAGCCATAGCCAAAAGGAACACATATGATATCAGTGCCTTGCTCATAGGAAAAAAAATGCTGTTCTGCTGCAGTAGGTAACATGAGTACCACTTTTAAAATGCTATGGCACTTTTCAAGAGTTCAGTGTGGTAGTTGACTAAATTCCTTCAGCATTTTCACTGCCTTTTTTTCTAAGTCTCTATTGGCAAAATTACACTCACAGTTATTGTTTTCCTGTCCTGATTCAGGTATCAAAGGCTGAGTACCATGTATAATGCCATCACTCCTGAGAAACAGAGGGAAAGACAGAAAGGGTTGCCAAGGCAGGTCTTTGAACTTGATGAAGTAGCCGAAGAGCGGAACAGTCAGGGGGATGCGGTAAGTTTGATCTGTAAGTCTGTCCTGTTGGATCAGCAGGTTTTTTGCTCAGGAAGGGAGGAATATCCTCTAGAACAGCGTTTCTCAAACTGCGTTCCTCCATATGTTTTGGATTTCAGCTCCCACAATGCCTAACAGCTTGTAAGCTGACTGGGATTTCTGCACCCTGAAGTTCAAAACACCTAGAAGAGCACAGTTTGAGAAACACTGCTTTAGAAGAAGGAGCAAGACATAAATGAAGAAAATGTCCATGTTATGGCCGAAACTTTTAGCAGCAACCATACCATTGTATTACATTTCTAACAGAACCAAACAAACAAACAGATAAAAAAAACACAAATTGTGCAAACTTGGTAGTTGATTAAATGTCCTTTGACCAGTATCTGGCCACTTGGAGTGCCTCTGGTGTTGCCGCAAGAAGGTCCTCCATTGTGCATGTGGCAGGGCTCAGGTTGCATTGCAGCAGGTGGTCAGTGGTTTGCTCTTCTCCACACTCCGCATGTAGCCCCATTTCTTAAGATTGGCTCTGCATCTCGTGGTGCCAGAGCGCAGTCTGTTCAGCGCCTTCCAAGTCGCCCAGTCTTCTGTGTGCCCAGGAGTGAGTCTCTCATCTGGTATCACCCATGGATTGAGGTGCTGGGTTTGAGTCTGCCACTTTTGGACTTTCGCTTGCTGAGGTGTTCAAGCGAGTGTCTCTGTAGATCTCAGAGTCATTGACGTGCTGACTGATACCCAAACAAAGGACGGGCTGGAGATGTCTCTGCCTTGGTCCTTTCACTCTTGGCTGCTACTTCCCGGCGGATGTCAGGTGGTGCAATACCGGCTAAGCAGTGTAATTTCTCCAGTGGTGTAGGGCGCAGACACCCCGTGATAATGCGGCATGTCTCATTAAGAGCCACATCCACTGTTTTAGTGTGGTGAGATGTGTTCCACACTGGGCATGCATACTTAGCAGCAGAGTAGCATAGCGCAAGGGCAGATGTCTTCACTGTGTCTGGTTGTGATCCCCAGGTTGTGCCAGTCAGCTTTCGTATGATATTGTTTCTAGCACCCACTTTGTGCTTGATGTTCAGGCAGTGCTTCTTGTAGGTCAGAGCACGGTCCAGAGTGACTCCCAGGTATTTGGGTGTGCTGCAATGCTCCAGTGGGATTCCTTCCCAGGTCATCCTCAGAACTCGGGATGCTTATCTGTTCTTAAGGTGAAAGGTACATGTCTGTGTTTTAGATGGATTAGGGATCAGCTGGTTTTCCCTGTAATAGGCAGTAAGAGCACCTAGAGCTTCGGAGAGCTTCTGTTCAACCATCTCAAAGCTCCCTGCTTGAGTGGTAATGGCACGATCATCAGCATAGATGAAACTCTCTGTCCCTTCTGGCAGTGGCTGGTCATTTGTGTAGATGTTGAACATGGATGGAGCAAGCACGCTCCCCTGAGGCAGGCCATTCTTCTGTTTCCGCCATCTGCTTCTCTGGCCCTGGAACTCAACAAAAAAGCTCCTGTTTTGTAGCAGGTTTCCTATGAGGCGGGTGAGGTGGTAGTCCTTTGTGGTATTATACATTTTTCTCAGGAGGAGGTGGTGGTTCACAGTATCATAAGCCGCTGCCAGGTCTATGAAGACAGCTCCTTTGATCTGCTGCCTTTCAAAGCCATCTTCTATGTGCTGAGTCAGGTTCAGCACTTGCGATGTGCAGCTTTTGCCTTTCCTGAAGCCAGCTTGCTAGCACAATAAATCATAGAATCATAGAGTTGGAAGAGACCTCGTGAGCCATCCAACCCCCTGCCAAGAAGCAAAAAAATTGCATCCCTGGCAGATGGCCATCCAGCCTCAATTTATGAATTCAGATTTGTCTGTCCATCAGTATCTCAGTTATGGAAATCTTAATCAAGACAATGTTTTCCTGCAGTTCTCGTTTTTCAAAATTTTTAAAGTGACTTTTAAAGGTTTTTTTTTGGAACAATACTTGGGATTATAAAGTGACAAAATGAAAGGAAAAGCGTGTGACAGAAGGAAAATTTGTCTATTTGGATCAGTAACTAGAGATCCATTACAGCAAAATGCAGCAATGTACAAAATCTACAAAACAATGACACCTTTATCAGGCCAACCAAAAAAGTACATAATGAAAGCTTTTGATTCCCCACTGGCTTCTTCCTGCTACAAAGGTGTTAAATTCAAACAGGTGGCGGTGGTGGGGTGTGTGTGTGTGACCATGTTACAGTTACAGGCCTACATTTTGTCAAGATTGGGTTGCTGTTATCAGTTAAGGTAGTTTGAAGGCAGAGGATGTTCCCCTCTTTGGCTGTGTGGTCTCTGGAGGGCAAAGAGTTGTAAAATCTAGCCAATAGACCCCATTAGCAACAGAAAAAGTAGCTTCCCTTGAAATCCAGACTGTTAATGTCTTGTGTGAGGCTGCGTGCCCCTTTCTTGTGTGGAGAACAGTTTTTGTACTGCTGTATTTTTTCATCTCTGAAAAACCTCTAGAGCAGTGGTTCCCAGCCTTTTTGATTCCCAGAACCCCATTTATAATCAATTATTATGTTAGAGCCCCTTAGGCCTGCCCTATGTCTTACAAGTTAATGGTGTTTAGGAGTAGTGTTACAGGGGGAGGAAGAGGGGTTAGATAGTAAGGGAGTGTAAAGTAAAGAGATATCTAAACACCTGAGTCAATCAAAAATATAATGTTTTTCTGCCGAAAATGTATCACAGTGGTTTGGGTTTTGAACGTACGAGTAGAACAAAACACAGCATTTTATTAATAACACTTACTAGCTACACAACTAAACCTTACAAAGAGGTCAAATGCACAGAAAACTCGCTGAAGAGTCGCAATGTTATCCCTATGAAAATTCACTGTGAAGTGACTCCAGCCTCTGCTTAAATGGGGCTAAGTTCCGAAAAGCTTTGCGGTGGATTTCAGGAATTTGCAAAGGGTTGAGTTGAGAATGAGCAAGAAACTTCTCAAATGTGCAGTTCCACAGGAAAGGCCTTTAAAATGCAGCACGCAACAGAGTATGTTCGACAGACCAGTGCCCTGCACAGTTTTGTTGTCACCATCTCACGTTACAATAAGTTTTTGAGCTAGTGGCAGCAGAATGACCAAGCATCCTCTGCTAGAGATGGTGTGAAATTCAACTTGGCAAATTTTAATTCAGAATATAGTGTGCAGTTTTCTTATTTTGCTTCTACTTTTTGTTTCTTATTATTTAATTTCATTCCATTTTTATTTTATTTACCTGGAACAGTCGCAGAGCCCCTGAGAAGTGCCTGCGGATCCCTTAGGGCTCCATGAAGCTCAGGTTGGGAACCACTGCTCTAAAGGGTAACATTTGCCCATCTCTGACTATATACTAGTCTCCCTCTAACAATGGCATAAACCAACTTAAACCAGTTTATAAACTAGCTTTCAGCTGGAAACAATCAATTCTAGTTTTGTTGACATGTTTACACTGACAGAGTACATGGCTATGTCTTTACCAGATTCTCCATGAGTTACCAGCAGAGCTTACTTTGGAAAACTTAACTTTTTTGGATTCTAACTCTGTGGCTCTTTCTGTGGCCCTTCTGGATTGGAGATTCTGGAATATGTAGCGGAAGGATATATCTTTGCTAGCTTCTGGCTGTCAATAGGAAGTAACTGCCTGTTCATTGTAGTCTATGAGGCATCAGCTGTGTTTTCCAGAGATATTTTTCAGAAAATACACAGATGTATCCCTAACAGCACGTTCTCCTTGTTCTTCCCAGGATGACCTGAAACGCTGCTCTGCCTCCTTGGATGATACGCCTCGAGGCAGCTGGGCTTCCAGCATCTTTGACCTGAAGAACTCTGCAGCTGACTTCTTGCTACGCTCACTTTTGGTGCGCACTGCCATCGAAGAGACTGACCGTACCAATGAAGAGCTGCGTAAGAAGAACCGGCACAGTGAGATCTTGGCATTGTTTCCTGCTCCTGATGAGGTAGCAACCTCTATCTCCTCCCTGCCTTTAATGGAATCCTGCATGATCCAGAAAATGGCATTATGGCTTTTATAATGGGAAGATTTGTATGCCAAGTCTAGTTCCTTGTTTCAGTCTCTCAACTGTTTTTTTTTTTGTAAATACAGAGGAAGAACTGCTATAAGTTTCACACTCCATTTGCAATGGATTTTTTTAAAGGGGGGCTTGAGAGACAGCCTGAGGCAGGGCCTGTGGTCTCCAGTTTTCTCAGGAGCACCGTCCTTCTTGAGAGGTCTCCTTTGGCCCATAGCCTTCAAGTTGGGATTTTGTTCCAGTAAGCTCTGAGTCATGCTCTGAGTGCATGATTGAGCGGGCGGTATCTTTCCTTCTGTCTCCCCAGGATGAAGCAGTGGAACGCAGCAGTATCCCAGAAGTCCCAAAGGAGCACTTTGGCCAGAGGATCCTTGTGAAGTGTTTGTCTCTAAAGTAAGTTGTTCCTGAATCAAGAACGTAGAGTCAGGAGGCCCTAGCAAGAAGCACTTTGACTTGGGTTCAGTGCAGAGTTTTTCAGTTTGGAGTGTTCTTGAAAGAAAGATGGTAAAGCAGAATCTAATTCTGAATCCATGGAAAAGGTGTGAGTGTGTATATGTTTGCTGCATTAAAACAAGTTTGTGTCTATGCGCCAGACTGCTATCATGCACTGCCATCAGACTGCTGGCACATGACAGAGATCCCTTGTGGGGAGAACATAATAATAATAATAATAATAATAATAATAATAATAATAATAATAATAATAATAATAATAACAACAACAACAACAACAACAACAACGTATTTGTACCCCGCTACCATCTCCCCAAGGGACTCGGTGCGACTTACATGAGGCCGAGCCCAAACACAACAATACAAGCAATAATAACAACAATACAAGCAATTAAAAACATAGACAATAAAATACACAACATTATCAATAAGACAACACACAATTAAAAACAGTGGGAAGGCCAAATGTAAGAGTTAAAATTGGAAGTAATGCTGGGACATGGACGAAAGGTGATACTGGTGTTTGTGGAAGGGCATACGAGCAGACCTAAAGAAATGTAAAGTGCTTTGGAGGACAAAGTGCTATGGGATCATTATTCCGGGAAGGCACACTGGAACAGCTACGTCTTCAAGCTCCTCCTGAAGACTGCCAGAGTTGGGGCAGTCTGTCTGATGTCTTTAGGGCGTGAGTCCCAGAGTCGAGGGGCCACCACCGAAAAGGCCCTCTCTCTCGTCCCCACCAATCGCGCCTGCGATGCTGATGGGATCAAGAGCAGATTGAAGGGATCGTGTGGGTTCGTATACAGAGATGCGATCATGCAGGTAGGCGGGTCCCAAACTGTTCAGGGCTTTGTAGGTAAGAACCTGCACCTTGAATTGGGTCCGGTAGATGAATGGCAGCCAGTGGAGCTCCTTGAACAGGAGGGATGACCTCTCCCTGATGTTGTGTTGACAACAGAAACCTATTTACATGGAGAATTCAGGTTACGTTCTGGTCCCTACAGTTCTGGCGAACCACCCCACATAACAAGGTCCAGAATACATGTTGTGTTATCAATTTACCTGCTCTGTGTATGTCTGAAGCAGTGTTTGGAGGTGCTTGAATTTCACTTCTGAACTTTCTCAGAAGTATTACGTTAGCCGCCTTTCATCTATTCCACTCTCTGTAGGCTTTTCCCCAATTTAACGCTGTGTTAATATGCAATATAAATGAACAATAGAACATCTCTGTTTAAGAATAGTTTAAATTAACAACAACAACAAAACTTTATTTATATACCGTTCTATCTCCCCAAGGGGGCTCAGAGCAGTTTCCAAGTAACATCATCAATACATACAAAGAAAACAGCATAAACATAAAATTAACAAGACAATATAAGCATTAAAAACCACAATAGCACATATATATAAAATAATCCTGCCTGTTCAAGGCAGTTTAAAAGGCTGGGCCGGGCTAGTGCGATTTTAGAGGACCCGGGAAATTAAGTAGAGTCTATGGCTGTACATTTCCAGGGCCTAATAGAAGAAAGTGACCTCAAAGGTTTGTTTAAAACACCAGATCTTCAGGCTCTTATGAAAAGAGGGGAGGGATGGGGCCTGTCTTATTTTTCCAGGAAGGGCGTTCCAGAGGTGGGGGGCCACCACTGAGAAGGCCCTCTCTCTCGTCCCCACCAACCGTGCTTGTGACGGTGGTGGGAGTGAAAGGAGGGCCTCTCCGGAAGATCTTAAAGTTAATATACACATTTTAACTGCATAGAGCATCATGAGCATAAAAAAGAAAAGTAACACAAAAGATTAAAAACTGAAATGTCACAACCCACAAACAATTGTATAGAAATGCATTCTCTTCAGCTCACATACTACTTTTACAATAACTGCACTAAACTTAGTATAATAAAATATCTCATGATAGCTATCCAGTATTGCCACACACTGTAAACACATATATTTATGTTTTCTCTCAGTCCTGAGCTATTCTGAAACAAGCTTTCAAGTGTATCTCATGGGGTACTTAGAGGCCAGCTTATTTTTATTTTAAAGTGGAAATTCTTGAGAATTCAAATTGCCATTCTAGATTTCCATGTGAAGTTCTGAAGACTTTATTAGCCAGAAAAGGGGACAACTCTGAGTAGCATATGTAGCCATGGAAGCTGCTCTTTGATCAGAACACTCAGAGTTCTGATTCTTTGTTTTTCCACCTATTTACTGTAGGCTTAACTTCACTTATCTGATTCAAGGGTAGAATTGGGGAGACCCCTCTTTCTTTATAGCATTAGAGTCCTCCGTTGTAATGAACAGGTTGCTGAACAGTGTTCAAGTACACTCCAGGCAGATTCCTCTTAGATTTTCATATTGGTGGACAGTATTTCAGCTGAGAGAAGAAGCCTACCCACCTTTAGGAAGTGAAAGTTGAATGAATGGACAGTTTGGCTTGTATTCATGATTTGCTTATTTGCTAGGACACTTGAATCTTTTTGTGATACATGGTTTGGATTTGGAGGCTGCCAGCAGGAGTTCTCTTGGTTCATTCTGAAGTGCATATCTGGAGTTTGACTGTGCTTCGTCATTAACAATGGCTCTGTCAGTATACAGTTTTCTTAATAATTGTCCTTTCTCTCTCTCTTTCCCACTCTCTCTGCCACCCCCCCCCCCCCCCCCCCAACCTTATGTATCCATGGAATAGATTTGAGATAGAGATTGAGCCAATCTTCGGGTCATTAGCACTCTATGATGTGAAAGAGAAGAAGAAGGTATATTTGGCTATTGTTTGGTTTATTGTTAACTATATGGTATGTTTTAAATATGTTTTAAACTAGGGAAATGTGTCCCAGTTATTTTATTTTGTATATTTAAATTTCTCACCTGCTATTTTGAATTGTTTTATAAGTATATTTTGATGGGTTTTTTTTAAAGTGCTGTATTATGTATGCTTTTTAGGCATTGAATGTTTGCCAATTCCCTGAGTACCTTTTGAGAGATAGGGCGGTATAGAAATAAAGTTGTTGTTGTTGTATTATTATTATTATTATTATTATTATTGCCTGTGGATTATGTCAGAGAGATGTTTATTATGGCAGCCCAAGCACAGAATCAGCTTATTTGAGTTTATCTCTACAGAGTTGTCTACAGTCTGTTCTGTCCGCCACAAGATGTAAGGCTTCTCTTTCTCTAAATGAGGGGTCCTCAAACTACGGCCCGGGGGCCGAATACGGCCCTCCAAGGTCATTTACCCGGCCCTCACTCAGGGTCAAACTAAGTCTGAAACGACTTGAAAGCACACAACAACAAGAATCCTATCTAATCAGCCAAAAGCAGGCCCACACTTCCCAATGAAATACTAATAAGTTTATATTTGTTAAAATTGTTCTTGATTTTAATTATTGTCTTGTTCTAAAGTGTTTTTTGCACTACAAATAATGATACATGCACTGTGCATAGGAATACATTCATTTTTTTCCAAATTATAATCCGGCCCTCCCAACAGTTTGAGGAACTGTTACCTGGCCCTCTGTTTAAAAATTTTGTGGACCCCTGCTCTAAATAGTGCCCTGTCTTCATTCAGAAAAAAATAGTTTTCTCAGTTCTTAACATAAAGAACTGCTTTTTAGGTAAAGGTTTCAAAGAAAGGAGAATGGTTCACTTGAGATGACCCATGAGGAAGTGGCTGTATAGGTTACCCTTCCTTGACCAAAAGCTTTGTCAGACAAAGGAGCCTCCAGCCATGATTGAAAGCCCCACTGGGCACATGCATTTCTGCCTTCTGCATTTTCTCTTTTTTCTTCTGTTACTGGCCACTAAAAATAAGTTTAGTTTTAACTCAAGAGACTACGGTGTGGTATCAGGCAGATATGGCAGAAGCCAATAAGAAGAACAATAAGAAGTTGGACTGGCATAGCAGTTCACCCTTCAGGATCACTGGAAGTACAATTAGCCTGGCAGATTTGAGGTATAGAGTTTATCTCTGTTGGTTGATTGGACAATTACGTTGCATTGTTGAAGGCTTCCATGGCTGGAATCACTGGATTGTTGTAGGTTTTTTGGGCTAGAAGCATGTTTTTATTTTTGCTGTTGTAGGAAGTGGTTCCTGGCCATGTGTAGTAACCCCCTTTGGTTACTATTCTTTCCTCATTTTTCTAGATTTCTGAAAATTTTTATTTTGATCTTAATTCGGAGCACATGAAGAGCCTGCTGAGAGCGCACAGTGCCCACCCTGCCATTTCCACACTGGCCCGTTCAGCAATCTTCTCTCTCACACATCCTTCCCCAGACGTATTCTTGGTGATCAAGGTGAGATGTCAAACCCTCAACTGTACTTCCAAAGTTCTTTACAATTATTGCTGTGGGTAGAATATAGGCAGGGCTGTCTCTGTTCTCTGGTAGGCAGGGGAGAAGTCATCATCTCACACATGACAGCTGTCCTCCTTAATTAAAGCAAATTTCTAGTCCTTTTGAATATGGGGACAGTAACATTTCCAGTAGAATAGAGCTTTCATATACCATCCCTATTTCTTTGCTCCTTCCTATGACTAGCAGGAGCACAAGAAATGCTTTAAAGCAAATAGCATATGAAAAAAAATATTTGAATTACATGCATATGTCGCTTTTGATTTTAAAACACCAAGTTTTATTTTGGATTTTAATGCTAATCCCAGTAGTGTCAGTCATGAAGTACAGAGATATAGAGTTGAATACTAAATAGTCAATGCCACCACATTTGCAATTTCTGTATGTAGATTTGAAAACTGATAGGATGAAAAAATTGGCTCACTGAAATGTGGCGTGGGAGGTACTGTGAAATGCTAAAAACATGAATAAATGGGTTCTGGAGCAAATCAGGTGTGAACTCTGCTTCGAAGATGACAACTAAGACCATCGTACTTTGGCCATATCATAAAAAGAGATCACTCACTAGAAAATATGATAATGTTTGAAAAGGTGTAGGGCAGTAGAAAAAGATGGATAGACTTAATCAGGAAAGCCAGTGCTCTGAGTCTGCAAGGACTGTTGGGGTGACTTGAAGCTCTTTTATTCATAGGATCATCATAAGTCAAAGTTTATTTGAAGGCAGCTAACCACAACAAAGGCCAGCACTTAGCCTAGGCTTCTTCATCTTAGGTTTAAATCATGGATAGTAGCTTCTCTGGCCAGAGCTATAAGACAGACCTTGACACAGAGCTCACAACAATCTTAGTTTAATTCTCAACTGTTGAATTTAATCAGTAACCTGATTTTTCTCTTCCTGAACAGCTGGAAAAGGTCCTGCAGCAAGGAGACATTAGTGAGTGCTGTGAACCATACATGGTCATGAAGGAAACAGATACATTGAAGGTAAATGGAACAAAAGGCAGGAGAGCTGGTGAAGGTGCAGTCATAGACTATTAGGCATGTCTCAGAACTCCATTTACACCTGAATCATCCCCTCTGTTTTCTGGGGTATCTCCCCCCCCCCCCCCCCGAAATATTCATGGTTTGACACAGGGTTAAGGTAAAGATTCAACAACTGAAATTCTGACTGGAGGACAGAAAATTATCCCTCATGTAAAACTTTTATACATTATTTGCTTCCTTCTAACTTTGAGAAGTGTTCTATTACTTATCTCACTATTTCTAAACATTTATTTATTATTTATCATGTCAGGAGCAAACCAAACACTTGTATTGCATTTTTTAACAAACAAACATACAAAACGCAAAGTTTGCAAGCTTAGTAGTTGATTAAATGTCCTTTGACCAGTATCTGGCCACTTGGAGTGCCTCTGGTGTTACTGTGAGAAGGTCCTCCATTGTGCATGTAGCAGGGCTCAGGTTGCATTGCAGCAGATGGTCTGTAGTTTGCTCTTCTCCACACTCGCATGTCGTGGATTCCACTTTGTAGCCCCATTTCTTAAGGTTGGCTCTGCATCTCGTGGTGCCAGAGCGCAGTCTGTTCAGCGCCTTCCAAGTCGCCCAGTTTTCTGTGTGCCCAGGGGGGGAGTCTCTCATTTGGTATCAGCCATTGATTGAGGTTCTGGGTTTGAGTCTGCCACTTTTGGACTCTCGCTTGCTGAGGTGTTCCAGCAAGTGTCTCTGTAGATCTTAGAAAACAATTTCTAGATTTAAGTCATTGGCATGCTGGCTGATACCCAAACAGATAATGGGTTTGAGATGTCTCTGCCTTGGTCCTTTCACTATTTCTAAATAATAACACAGTACTTTGATAACATGTTATTTTACACTTTTGTTAAGGGTCCCAGATTCCCCAGAAGGGTCCTCTGCACCCTCAATCCTGAACCATAAGCCATCTTTTTTCTTCCAAACTGAAATACTAAAATATGTATACACTGGCTTCATTGTGATCACTGATCCTCCAAGTAGCACTACTAGTCTTGTCTAGAAGCCATACAAAGCCAACATGTTGGCTTTTTTATTGGATTAGTGGCTGCAGCTGTCTATTGCCTCCTTGTGGGAGGTAATTTGTACTCCCAGCCCCAAAAAAGTTGATAGGCATCAACAACAGGAGGGTGCAGTGTGGCATGCACTAGCACTTGAACCATGCATTCCTTCTTGGTTGAATCAAACCACATCCCTGCAATGAATAATGAGACCAGATTCCTTACTGTATCATTACAAATGGAGTGAAGTTATTGAGATTTACATGAGATTTGCAGCATTATTTTGATCTAACTATCAAAAACACCTTTGCATATGTGTAATGTATTGCTTGAAAGCTCTGATTCCATCACAGTGGTGATCTTTTACCCCTTGTGTCTCCAGAACAAGGAGAAGCTGGAGAAGCTGCGGGTGGCAGGAGAGCAGTTCTGCAACCGCTTGGGGCGCTACCGCATGCCCTTTGCCTGGACTGCTATCCACCTCATGAATATCATCAACAGCACTGGCCTGCTGGAAAGGGATGCTTCCGAGCCTGAGAGTGGTAAATTGAGACAATGCAGCCCAGCTCAATGTAAAAAGATTGTTCTCACTGACCCATACTCTCTTCTGAGGAGTTTGCTGTTTCCTGTTCAAACTGTGCTGATTTTGAAAGTTTGAAACTGAGCATTACTGGGTGGAACTGTGCTTTTCATGGCTTGTGGAGATGGAAGTGTGGCAGAGGTCAGGAGCAGAGAAATATGTTGCAAAGGATGCTCTATACCCTAAAATCAGACACAGGATGACATGTGATTGACTCACTATGGACAGCTGCATTGCAGTCCTGCTCCAGGTATCACACAGTAGTATGTTAGAGGTGACTCCTAGCATATTAGCATTGCAGTCAGTGTAAAACAACAACAACAACAACAACAAATAAGTTGGCTGAGTCTTAGGCTCACAGTATGAAGATGAAAAACATTTGCTGAGCTTAGGGTTGGAGGACCCCAGAAAAAGTGGGGGAAAACACATTTTTTTTTTTACCAGCACATCCAAGGCACGCTGTCGCTCAGTGCTGCTTGGAGTCGGTGTCTGGAGGCACTTCCTTGGGTCTAGGCAAGCCCAGTGGCCTTCAGAGGAGGTAAGCAGTAAGGGCAAAGAGGTCCTTGAACGGTGAGTGGCGAGGGCATAGTCTTCGAAGAGGGGGTAGTCTTAAACACAGAGTATATCTCTCTAGTAATCTATAGGTCCTCTGGCACAAATCTATGATCAACTTCTGTTGGAAATTGACATAGAGTTGCATTGGAGGACCTAGAGATTCCTAGAGAGAATATTTTTAATTAAATCTGAATAATCAATCTAAAACTAGATACGAAGGGCCAGTTGTGTATGTGTATTCTTTAATGGCTGAAACAAAGGAATCTACAATTTTTATATTTACTGTCCTTTTTAAAAGTACAGCCCCGTTGCTTTCTCTCTTTTTCGGTAAATCAATGATGACAGTTTGAAGATTAGTGTTGTCTCTGAGGAACAGTTTCTATGGCTTTTATAGCTTAGGTCCCAAGTGCAATTTGCTACCAACATAATGCCTCCTGCCTTTTCGACAGTGTGCTAAGAGACTTTCAAAATAAAATTTAGTGGCTCAGCTGCAGGGGCTTTTCACCACATCTGCCAACATAGATCACAGTCATCAATAGTAAGCTGTGTTGAATTCATGCAAATTAATGACTCAGTAGAAAAGATTTTTATTATTTATTTATTTCAGTTACTTCTACCCCGCCCTTCTCACCCCCGAGGGGGGACTCAGGGCGGCTTACAAAAAAGGCACAATTCGATGCCTATGTTAAATATACATACATACATAAAAGCAATTAAACAGTTAACAGGTTAAAATCATCAGTACATAACACAATAGTAAACAATCTCATGCTCAGTGTTCAGAGTTCCATAAATCCCTTCCGTTCCGTCAATTCCTGCCCATCATCAAGGTCGTTCCTTTACCTGCCAGAATGTCCAAAAGTCTGGTCCCACATCCAGGTCTTCAATTTTTTTCTGAATGAAAAAAGGGAAGTCGCTGGTCTAATCTCCCCGGGGAGTGAGTTCCACAGGTGAGGGGCCACCACCGAGAAGGCCCTGCTCCTTGTCCCCGCCAGCCTCACTTGTGATAGAGGCGAGGTCGAGAGCAGGGCCTCCCCAGAAGATTTTAAACTCCGAGGTGGGATGTAGAGGGAGATCCATTCGGACAGATACACTGGGCCGGAACCGTATAGGGTTTTGTAGGTCAAAACCAGCACTTTTAAGATCATGATTCTTGATAAGATGGAAGGCAGTGGGGAAAGGGCAAGGTTTCCATGGCTTTGATTAGTTAGTGCTTAAGAGCTTTGTACGAAATAACAGACATATTAATTCTATTTAATGTACCGCATATTCTGGGTGCTAGACTACTTTTTATACCTTGAAAATTTTATTAAAAGTTGGGGGTCGTCTAGTATGCCGGGTATAAATTGAAATAATAAGTTAAAGAAAAAATAAAATTGCCCTTAATGGCGCGGCTTGAGGAGGGAGGGAGGAGGAGGAGTGTGGAGGGGAGGGAAGGCATGGGGATGAAGAGTGGCAGGCCACATTGCCACGGAGAGTGGCTGGGGGTGATGGCCCACTGGGCCTCCTCTGAAGGATTGCCTAAGCCCAAGGAAGTGCCTCCAGATGGCGACTCCTAGCAGTGCTGGGCGACGGCGTGCCTTGGATGTGCTCCCAGAGGCATGCTGGGAGCAGTAGGAGTCAGGGAACTACGGCTCCCAGCATGCCTCTGGGAGCACATCCAAGGCACACTGTCGCTCAGTGCTGCTTGGAGTCGGTATCTGGAGGCACTTCCTTGGGCCTAGGCAAGCCCAGTGACCTTCAGAGGAGGTAAGCAGTAAGGGCAAAGAGGTCCTTGAACGGTGAGAGGCGGGGGCATAGTCTTCGAAGGGGGGTAGTCTTAAACACAGAGTATATCCCTAACTCTGTATTTTATCATCAAAAGTTGGAGGGTCGTCTTATACCCCCCCCCCCCCCCCCCATCGCCTTGTATACGGTACTTGCCTTGCTCATATGGTGAAACGGTACAGCTGCATGTCTTTTTAATGCTAAAATATGGGTCTTAGCATAAATTGTAAGAGTTTTGTCAAATTAAACAATGCGGTAATTAACAGCAACTACTGCAAGTTTTCTTGAGGGGCAGTCATGTTTTATATTTTAAAAACATACCAGTTTAACTGATTGAGAATTGACCACAAGATGATTTTATTGCTGTGACTGTATTGTTTTGATTGTTTTAACTAGGTATAACCATTGACATTAATTTGTAATTTTGTATATTGTATTTGTGTATAGTTGGGCATCAAATTGTGCCTTTTGTAAGCCGCCCTGAGTCCCCCCTAGGGGGTTGAGAAGGGCGGGGTAGAAGCACCCCAAATAAATAAATAAATTTGATTTTGAGAAGTTGCTAGGGAGGTCACTCTTTTTGCCATCCTGTAGATTTGGGACTAAAAAACAGTGGTAGCAATTGTGGTAATGCTGTTCACCACACTCTTGCTTCCTGCCTGATTATAATCCCTAGTTTTGGGGTACGTCCTCCTCTTTTCTAGACCGCAGAGGCACCTGGAATGAGCGCAAGAGGAAAGCATATGAGCGCATGAGTGTTGGGGAAGAGGTGTGCAGCTTTAACAACTTCCGCCCAGCTACCCTCACAGTCACCAATTTCTTCAAGCAGGTTTGTATGGCAGAGGATAGATTTTCCGGCATTGGTTGACACAGGTTTAACTGTGGCATTGGGTTTTGGTGAGAAGTTTATACCTCTGAAGAGTCCATAAGAGAGCAACTATGAAGCCAGAAAGTTAAAAGCAAATACCCGTATGTGTGACAGGAGTTTCTGATTCTTCTTGTAAAACTGTGAGCCCTTTCTCTCCCTCTTTTCCCTCCCACTGTAGGATAATTTCAAAATAGGAAAAACCATTTAAAAAGTAAAGCAGCAGTAGTTTTAATAAATCAGAAACAGCTTGATCTAGCAATACAGTGAATGGGGTTCATCAATTACAGAAGCAGAGTCAAGCTTTAAACGTTTTCTTGAAAGAACTATATCTCTATTTAGGAAAGTTAGAGCTTAGCTGTCTCACTATCAATCTCTCTGGAGATATGTTGTCTCTCCATGTTTACAGGAGACAAACACAACAGAGGACTTGGGGGCTTGCCGTGTGATCAGGAACTTTGAATTAAAAGTTTGAATTTTTTATCGTGTCAGAAGCAGCTTGAGAAACTGCAAGTTGTTTCTGGTGTGAGAATTGGCCCTCTGCAGAGACATTGCCCATGGAATGCCCGTATTTGTTACCATGCTGGGGGAGGCTTCTCTCGTGTCCCTGCATAGGAAGCTGGAGCTGACAGATGGGAGTTCATCCCGTCTCGTGAATTCAAACCGCCGACTTTCATGTCAGCAGATCAGGTGGCACAAGGGTTTAACCCATTGCACCACCGCAGCGCCTAAAGTTTGAATTAAAAGAGGACTTTTTTGTTGGGCAGTTCTATTTTGTCCTGGATTGGCCCCTAATGAGCATTCCAACCTGTTATGGGAACTAAGACTTGGCAGTCTTGCAAAAGCAGATGAGGACATGAGAGAGAGTGTCACGGTCACTTAGGAAGTGACCGTGACACTTGGTTTCAAGCACTTTTAATTTTTCTCCTAACTTTTAGGAAGGTGATCGCCTCAGTGATGAGGACCTGTACAAGTTCCTGGTGGATATGAGACGACCATCCTCTGTCCTTAGGCGTCTCCGACCTGTCACAGGTAAGGTGACCTGGCAATCCTCAGTTGATCTTTGACGCAACTATTTGCTATAACATGGCGAAATACTTTGGGCTAGCCAGAGTAGTTGTTGTAGGGAACAACAAAAAAGGCTTGTGTGGCGTTTTCAAAGGATGAAATTCTCCTTTGGACGTCACCCTTTATGGGCCAGAGTCTGCATTGCCAGAAACATAAAATGGACACATATCTATCCTGAGAAAAGAGAAAAGGAAAAGCTATGTATGTTTTTAATATATAAAGCCCCTGTTTTATATGTAAAAATATAATGTTTTACCAAAGCAAATCCAAAAGATGCATTAAATTAAGAGATAATAGTTATATTTATAAATTGACCCTCTTCTCACTTTATAAAAGCTACAGTATTCAAAAAACAGCAACAAAATGGAATGAAACAAACACAGTTATAACAATTGTATACAATGAAAACAGAAGTCAGTGTCACAGTATAAGGAGAAAATGACATTAAAACTCAGTGAAGCATTATAAGCTTCTTTGTTTCTCTAGAAGGAACTGCTTTTATTGTCTTAGAGAAGGTTTCCCATTATTGGGATATTGCTACAGCTAACACCCTTCATCAAGTGTGATCCTGTCTAATTCTTCTAAATGAGAAGATCCAAAACAGGGCCTCCAGTGAAGAGCAGGTTGTTGCTGGTGATCTTTCAGATAGATATGTGTTTATGGCTTTATAGGTAAACAATTTAATTATGCTGGAAAGTAAATTAGAAACCAGTGGAGTAGATTCATGGCCAGTGCTGCTTGGCCTGTAAAATGTACATCAAACAACAGTCTATATCAGTGGTTCTAAACCTTCCTAATGCCACGACCACTTAAATCCACTTCCTCATGTTGTGGTGACCCTCAACCATAAAATTAGTTTCATTGCTACTTCATAACTGTCATTTTGCCACTGTTATGAATAGTAATATAAATATCTGATACGCAGGATGTATTTTCATTCACTGGACCAAATTTGGCACAAATACCCAATACACCCAAATTTGAATACTGGTGGGATTGGGGGAGGGTATTGATTTTGTCCTGTGGGAGTTGTAGTTGCTGGGATTTATAGTTCACCTACAATCAAAGAGCATTCTGAACTCCACCAATGATGGAATTGAATCAAACTTGGCACACAGAAGTCCCATGACCAACAGAAAATACTGGAAGGGTTTGGTGGGCATTGACCTTGAGTTTGGGAGTTGTAGTTCACCTACATCAGAGAGCACTGTGGACTCAAACAATGATGGATCTGGACCAAACTTGGCATGAATACTCAATATGCCCAAATGTGAAAACTGGTGGAGTTTGGGGAAAATAGACCTTGACATTTTGGAGTTGTAGTTGCTGGGATTTATAGTTCATCTACAATCAAAGAGCATTCTGAACCCTACTAACGATTGAATTGGGCCAAACCTCCCACACAGAACCTCCATGACCAACAGAAAATACTGTGTTTTCTGGTGGTCTTTGGTGACCCCTTTGACACCCCCTTGCGACCCCTCCAGGGGTCCCAACCCCCAGGTTGAGAAACACTGGTCTATATGCTGGATTTTGCACTAACTGTGATTTCTGAACATTGTTTTCAGAAATGGTTCTATAGAGAGTGACTTATTCTCTATAGCGAGAGGAATTTAAGACATTAAACACTATACCTAGGTCCTATTTCACAAAGAAATGGTGTAACTGATATATAAGCGAAAGCTGTGTAATCTACACTGCCATGTAATGCAGTTTCATAATGCATTTTAACTGCATTGAGCTGCATTATATGGCTGTGTAGACCCATATAATGTAGTTCAGTGTAGTAAAACTCCACTAGTCTTGGCTGTTGCCTCTGACCTTCTAGGAGTAGTGTCGACTCCAAGCTATGCATTTCAAATTTTAGAATGAGTGCTACCATTCCAAACAGGTTGTGGCACCAACTGTTGGTTGGTCTGTCTGTTCAACAGCAAGATTTCTGTCCTTGAATTCATCCTCAGTTTTTTTACTCATATCCAGTTCTTTGGAACTTTAATGCCACAATCCAAGACTTCTTACAAGCTCCTTGGTACCCGTTCAAAAAGGAGAGCTAGAACTGGGCACCCACAGCACAATATGTACATTTTCACTCTCAAACTCTAGCACAGTGTTTCTCAACCTGGGGGTCAGGACCCCTGTGAGTGGGGGGGGGGATCATAAAGAGGTGTCAGAGAGGTCACCAAAGACCATCAGATAATAGAGTATTTTCTGTTGGTTATGTGAGTTCTGTGTGGGAAGTTTGGCCAAATTCTGTCATTGTTAGAGCTCAGAATGCTCTTTGATTGTAGATGAACAATCTCAACAACTACAACTTCCAAATGTCAATGTCTATTTCCCCAAAACTCCACCAGTGTTCACATTTGGGCATATTGAGTATTTGTGCCAAGTTTGGTCCTGATCCATCACTGTTTGAGTCCGTAGTGCTCCCTGACTGTAGGTGAACTACAACTCCAAAACTCAAGGTGGAAGGGTTTGGTGAGCTCCAAAGCTCACCAAACCTTTCCACTATTTTCTGTTGGTCATGTGAGTTCTGTGTGCTAAGTTTGGTTCAATTCCACCGTTGGTGGAGTCCAGAATGCTCTTTGATTGTAGGTGAACTATAAATCCCAGCAACTCAAATGATAAACTCAATCCCACCAGTATTTGGGCATATCTGGTATTTGTGCCGAATTTTGTCCAGTGATTGAAAATACATCCTGCATAACAGATACGGTATTTACATTACGGTTCATAACAGTAGTAAAATTACAGTTGTGAAGTAGCAACAAAAATAATTTTATGGTTGGGGGTCACCATACATGAGGAACTATATTAAGGGCATTAGGAAGGTTGAGAATCACTGCTCTAGCACATTTTCTCTAGTGGCTCCATGTAGAAATTAAACAGTTATACCACTATCTCTGAATCCAACAAGACAAATAGAGAGTGTCCTGTCTGTCTCATTGTGACCTACTCAAAAACAGGATAGAGGTTTCCTTGCCCATCATGGACATGGATCTGAGGACTCGGACATGGATGTTTTGTGCTTATAAAGTGCTGGACAACCTGGAGGTGGCAGAAGTCATTCAGAAGGCAATCCTGCAGCTTGGAGCTGTCACATATTCCTAACCTAGACTGTGATGTTATGCTCTGGCAAAGCAATCTGAATTCTGAATAATTACATGTATTGTTGACTTGCTGCATCTTTTTGTCTCTGCTGTAGCCATTCTGTGTGTGTGCTATTTGTGTCTGTGTATATATATAGAAAAAGCCTTTTCTCTCTAGCTTTTCCCTCACGTGTGATGTAATGGAGATACAGAAAGAACAAGGAACTCCTTTGTCCTGCAATTCTTCACCCCAATACCAACCATTTTCAGCCTTGCTTCTTCGTGTCAGGCTGTTATTTTTTTTGTGTGTGAGACCTTCTTACCCATGTGTTTCTGCAACACAGCCCAGCTCAAGATCGACATTTCACCAGTACCAGAGAACCCCCATTACTGTTTGTCCCCTGAACTTCTGCACGTCCAGCCTTATCCTGACCTCCGTGTCCGACCCACTAAGGAGATCCTTGAGTTCCCAGTCAGGGAAGTCTACACACCTCACACAACATATAGGTGGGTGCACTTCATATCATAGGGCAGATTTAAGAGATTAAGAGATTGGGGTTGGGAATCTGAGTCAACGTATCTCTACTTTTATGCGTTATGGTGTTTAACTTCCCTGTCTTAGCTCTCCTTCTTGCAGTCTTGTGCTACTAAATTCTTCTGTATGTTTTAAAGTGGGAAAAACAAAAGGATGCAACTGAAGTCTATAGTTCCAGAGGATTAAGGCAATCCATTAAAAGAAAAAAATATATTCAGGGAAATATCAAGTTTTTGAAACGTTCATGTCCATTTCCTTCATGTTCAGTTGCCCCTTTCTCTGCTTTCCCTCTGTTGCCAGATCTTTTTGCAAACAATATGTTGCTCCTTAAATATATGTAGTTAGTAGGGAAGGATGGTAGTGGAGGGGACCGATTCTTAGATAATGGCAATAGTTTTGTCTTGCTGTTTCTGACAGTACTCAGTAGCACTTTTAAATGATGCCATGTATGTTTAGGTCTCTGCTGTCATGTGTCAGGATGTAGGTTTATCTGTAGCTTTGAATGCTCAGAATTGTCAGTGCCAAGACTTTGGCCTTAGCTGTTAGCAACTGTTGTCATCAAACTAGGTACTAAGCCAGTTCCAGCATGAAGAAAGTAAAGTTTTAGTTCTCAAACAGGCACTGCAATGGCTTCATCCTGATGTTTGATTTCAGGAAGCAGGAATAGTACTTATCTCATTCTTAAGTCCTTTTGGTACCCAGGGCAGTGTTAGAGCACAGAACCCCCACCAAACAGAGTAACATGCTCAAAGAAGAGAAATTATAAGCTCCTTGTGTCAGAATCATCTCGGATACAGCAGACAACTGTCAGATGGCATCTCTGTAATTTGCAAGGTTACTTCTGTTGCTTGTGTTCAGTTAAAAAGCTTCTTGGATGTTTTGCAGCTAACTCCAGTGCAAAGGTTATGTGGCGCCTCTTCCATCTGTGCAAGCTCAGCTGCAGATGGAACGTGCTTGTGATGAAGTTGGGCATTCCTCTCAGCTCACTCTTGATCCCTGAGCTGAACCCATTTCGATTCTTAGGCACAGCTCTCTTGCAGGATGCATGCAAATAGCTGTCATGAAGCTCCTACAGCCTTTAAAGATGATAACATGTGGTTTTCAGCTCTGAAGGTAGCAATCTTCTCTATCTTCTTGATGTGTATTTTGCTACAGTGTCTTTTTCTAGGTTCTCAGTGTTCACTTTGCCACCCGTATGGCTCTTCATCTAGAAAAACAAACAAAAAAGGCATTTGACATGCCACATGTCAAACCTACCTTGCTTTGGATGTTTGTAGAACATTGAGAAATAGATTTGAGGGAATCATTCATGCAAATGAACGTCTGATGTCTTCCAGTGTCGGGGATCTAGGACTATTTAACAATAATAATAATAATAATAATAATAATAATAATAATAATAATAAAAAATCTTTATTTGTACCCCGCTACCATCTCCCGAAGGACTCGGTGCGGCTTACAAGAGGCCGAGCCCACATACAACAATAAACAACAACAACAATACATCAAAATAAATCAAAACAAAGCAATAACATTAATAACACACAATGATGCAATTAAAAATATGGCGGGGCCAAATGCAATAATTAAAATTAAAAAGTGCTGGGCATGATCAGGAGAAAAGGGTAGGTGTTTGGAGAGGGATGGGTTTGCAGATATCCTAAATGCTTTGGATGTTTGTAGAACATGGAGAAATAGATTTGAGAGAATCATTCATACACGGCCTCACATGAGCATCAGAGGATGCGAACAGCATAAATACCATAAAGTTACAATTAACAATTAAATCATTTTAAAACATTATACATCATCATCAGTAAAATGGAGCCCCCGGTGGCGCAGTGGGTTAAACCCCTGTGCCAGCAGGACTGAAGACCGACCGGTCACAAGTCGCTCCTGACACGACAAAAAATTTAACAATAAATTAATAGATTAACGTGCCAGTAAAACCAAGCCGAGCCGAGAGAATCCATGTCACAAAATCCAAATTTCCTTTTCCTATTGCCTCTGGCCTCTAATCAAACAGCTGGTCCCAGAGCCAGGTCTTCAGTTGTCTTCTAAAGGACAGGAGGGAGGTGGCCTACCTAAGTTCCTTCAGGACAGAGTTCCACAGATGGGGGGCCACTGCCGAGAAGGCCCTGTCTCTCATCCCTACCAACTGAATTTGTGAGAGTGGTGGGATCGAGAGCAGGGCCTCTCCTGTTGATCTTAAGCTTCGTGATGGTTCATAGCAGGAGATACGTTCGGACAGGTAATCTGGGCCAGAACCATTCAGGACTTTAAAGGTTAAAACCAGCACTTTGAATTGTGCCTGGAAGCTAATAGGCAGCCAGTGGAGCAGGCGCAACAGAGGAGTGGTACGCTCCCTGTACGCAGCTCCAGTTATTAACCTGGCCACTGACCGCTGGACTAATTGGAGCTTCCGAGAAGTTTTCAAAGGCAGCTCCACGTAGAGAGTGCTGTGGTAGTCTATTTGGGATGTAACCAGAGCGTGGACCACCGTGGCCACGTCAGACTTCCCAAGGAACAGGCACAGCTGGCGCACAAGCTTTAATTGTGCAAAAGCTCTCCCGGCCACCGCCAAGACCTGGAGTTCCAGGCTCAGCGATGATATCACTTAGTAACAAAGGCTAACAACTTTCTGTCGCTCCTTTGCTAGAAGTTTCTGATGTTTCATTGGCCCTCATTTATAAGCCTCCAGTAACTGCTTACCTCTGAGCTGTCAGTATAGCAGCATCTCTTGAGCCTTCTTGAAAAGGGCTGTGCCTTCATATTTGTTGTCTCATGCTACCTAGCAAAGCTTGACAGTATCTCTAATACAATTATGTTCTCATCTTGGCCTTCTGCCCTCAGAGGAAGGTGCCAGATAGCTGCTGTTACAGCTGGGATGGGTGGTGCCGTCATGAATCATATAGGATGCTGGCTTTCCCCATCACCATTGCAAGCATAGCAGAGTGAAGATGCCACTGCTGATCCTTTACAAGGTGATTCTCAAGAGAGACATTTGTTTGCAAGAAATGCCCTTCTTGGCTGTTTTTGGCACTGGATAACAAGTACCTAGTAATAATGGCATACTGAGCTCTGACAGCCCTAATCCTTCCCCCTCCAAAGCCCCTGCTGTTTATGCTGTTAAAGCAGACGGCACCTTAAAAGAGATTTGGATAAGCTGAAAATAAGCTTATGAGCTTAAAACGGTTTCTGGATCTGGCTTGGAAAGCATTTCCTCCCTGTAATGTAACAAGATTGCTGTTGCTGAGAAGATTCCAAGCAATTGAGTGATTCTTTTAAGAGAGCTGGAAGGATTCCCCTGCAGTTGGCATAATATGTGGCATGCTGTGCCTAGCGGTGTCGCGTGCCTTGTCATTGCCAGCTGGATGTGTTCTCCTGTAGAAGGGGCCCCTTAGGAGGGCTCACAGGAAAAAAGGGAATACATGTGTCTGAAAAAAGGGCAACATTTTAGTGTAAAATGGATTGTCCTACTTGTGTGGAAGCCAAGGGACTCTGTGCATGAGCAGTGCAGTGTGGAGTTGTTCGGAGCCATTGAACAAATCCTGTCCTCTTACCAGTTCAGGAAAATCTGGCTTGGTCCCTCTTTGTGTCTGCTCTTGGTGTGATCATGGAGACAAGAATTTGGAGTAAAGTGGGCTAAGTGGAGTAAAGTGGGCTCCCTTTTTTGACACATTATAGTCATGGAGACAAGAATTTGGAGTAAAGTGGGCTAAGTGGAGTAAAGTGGGCTCCCTTTTTTGACAGATTATAGAAAAGCAAAGAATCAACATATATAGAGGCAGCTAGCATTTTAGAGAGCCACAGCAATTGTGGCACAGCTGGCTGAGTGTCAGCTGCATTAAGATCACTCTGACCAAAAAGGTCATGAGTTCGAAGCCAGCCCGGGTTGGAGTGGGTTTCCAACCAATTGTGTAGCCTGTTGTCGACCTTTGCAACCCGAAAGACAATTGCATCTGTCAAGTAGGAAAATTAGGTACCACCTTGTGTGGGGACGCTAAATTAACTAATTTATGAGGCCATAAAAAAGACTCCAGCAAAGTACTCCAGCAAAAGCATGCGGGGAATGCGGAAGTACTTCATCAGTGTCGCAGATGGACGATGAAAGCGACAGCTCCCCTGGAGGCCAGAATAGTTACATAGCCTCTGTGTATGTCTGTATACGTTGTATGTCAAAATTGGCATTGAATGTTTGCCATATATGTGTACACTGTAATCTGCCCTGGGTCCCCTGCGGGGTGAGAAGGGCGGAATATAAATACTACAAATAATAAATAAATAATTGGAATGGCCACTTAAAATGCCCTCTGAATGAGAGGTGAAAGGTTACCTTCAGAACAGCAACTTTTCCTTCCTGATCTTGGAAATCTCGTTTTTCCATGAATGATAGCATCTCTTCAAGAGCCTTCAGTCGGTGTGCCAAGTTTTGTTGCCCCACAGACACTCCCTGCAGTACTTCCTCGTGTCTCTGTGCCTCCTTCTTCAGTGCTGTGTCCTGAGCCTATTTGGTGAAGAGTGGAGAGATTAGAAAGAGAGGTGAAGGGAAAAGCAGTGGCTGCTGGAATAGTCGATTTTGGGAGTGGAATTTAGAGAAACAAGGCTGCAAAATTACAGCTTCAGGTAGAGAATGAAGATAGGGATGCAAGCCCTTGTGCTCCTTTATTAAAGCATGGAGAGTTGCTCTTTAAAACGAATAGTTTCAAATAATAATAATAATGCAGTTCTTGTGGGTTTTTTCGGGCTATATGGCCATGTTCTAGAGGCATTTCTCCTGACGTTTCGCCTGCATCTATGGCAAGCTTCCTCAGAGGTGAGGTCTGCTGGAGCTGGGAAAAAAGGGGTTTATATATCTGTGGAATGACCAGGGTGAGACAAAAGGCTTTTGTAAGTTGGGCTGGGTGTGGATCTTTCAACTGACCACCTTGATTAGCATACAATGGGCTGACTGTGCCTGGAGCAAGCTCTTCTTGAAAGGTGATTAGATGTCCCTGCCTGTTTTTCTCTCTGCTGTTTTGATTTTAGAATTTTTTAATACTGGTAGCCAGATTTTGTTCATTTTCATGGTCTTTCTTCCTTTCTGTTGAAATTGTCCACATGCTTGTGGATTTCAATGGCTTCTCTGTGTAGTCTGACATGGTGGTTGTGAGAGTGGTCCAGCATTTTTGTGTTCTCAAATAAAATGCTGTGCCCAGGTTGGTTCATCAGGTGCTCTGCTATGGCTGATTTCTCTGGTTGGAGTAGTCTGCAGTGCCTTTCATGTTCCTGGATTCTTGTTTGGGCATGCTGCGTTTGGTGGTCCCTATGTAGACTTGTCCACAGCTGCATGGTATACGGTAGACTCCTGCAGAGGTGAGAGGATCCCTCTTGTCCTTTGCTGAACGTAGCATTTGTTGGATTTTCTTGGTGGGTTTGTAGATTGTTTGTATGTTTTGTTTCCTCATCAGCCTCCCTATGCGGTCAGTGGTTCCCTTGATGTATGGCAGGAACACTTTTCCTCTGGGTGGATCTTCATCTTTACTCTCGTGGCTTGTTCTTGGTCTTGCAGCTCTTCTGATGTTTGAGGTGGAGTATCCATTGGCCTGGAGAGCCCAGTTGAGGTGGTTCAGTTCATCTTGGAGGAGGTGGGGTTCGCAGATTCTTTTTGCACGGTCTGCCAAGGCTTTAATGGTGCTTCTTTTTTGACTTGGGTGATGGTTGGAGTTTTTATGTAGATATCTATCTGTGTGTGTGGGTTTTCTGTAAACGGTGTGACCCAATTGTTGATCTGGTTTGCGGATGACTAGGACATCTAGAAAAGGAAGTCTTCCTTCTTTTTCTTTTTCCATAGTGAACTGGATGTTAGGGTGGATGCTGTTAAGATGTTCCAGGAACCTGTTGAGTTCTTCTTCTCCATGGCTCCAAATGGTGAAAGTGTCATCCACATATCTGAACCATATAGTGGGCTTTTTGGTTGCTGTTTCAAGAGCTTGTTTTTCAAATTGTTCCATGTAGAAGTTAGCTATGACTGGGCTGAGAGGGCTCCCCATAGCTACTCCATCTTTCTGTTCATAAAATTCATTGTCCCACTGAAAATAGCTGGTGGTGAGGCAATGGTGAAACAGCGCCGTGATGTCTTCTGGGAACCTCTGGTTGATGAGTGCCATGGTGTCTGCAACTGGGACCATGGTAAATAGAGACACCACATCGAAGCTGATCAGTTTGTCATTTGGTATTTAGCTTGAGATTGCTGATTTTTTCTATGAAGTGGGCTGAGTCCTTGATGTAGTGTGTAGTGAGCCCAATATGGCTTTGTAGCTGTGTAGCAGAAAATGAAGGAAGACTGCCTTTTCTAGATGTCCTAGTCATCCGTAAACCAGATCAACAATTGGGTCACACCGTTTACAGAAAACCCACACACACAGATAGATATCTACATAAAAACTCCAACCATCACCCAAGTCAAAAAAGAAGCACCATTAAAGCCTTGGCAGACCGTGCAAAAAGAATCTGTGAACCCCACCTCCTCCAAGATGAACTGAACCACCTCAACTGGGCTCTCCAGGCCAATGGATACTCCACCTCAGACATCAGAAGAGCTGCAAGACCAAGAACAAGCCACGAGAGTAAAGATGAAGATCCACCCAGAGGAAAAGTGTTCCTGCCATACATCAAGGGAACCACTGACCGCATAGGGAAGCTGATGAGGAAACACAACATACAAACAATCTACAAACCCACCAAGAAAATCCAACAAATGCTACGTTCAGCAAAGGACAAGAGGGATCCTCTCACCTCTGCAGGAGTCTACCGTATACCATGCAGCTGTGGACAAGTCTACATAGGGACCACCAAACGCAGCGCCCAACACGAATCAAGGAACATGAAAGGCACTGCAGACTACTCCAACCAGAGAAATCAGCCATAGCAGAGCACCTGATGAACCAACCTGGACACAGCATTTTATTTGAGAACACAAAAATGCTGGACCACTCTCACAACCACCATGTCAGACTACACAGAGAAGCCACTGAAATCCACAAGCATGTGGACAATTTCAACAGAAAGGAAGAAACCATGAAAATGAACAAAATCTGGCTACCAGTATTAAAAAATTCTAAAATTGCAACAGCAAAAACAGCAGAGAGAAAAACAGGCAGGGACATCTAATCACCTTTCAAGAAGAGTTTGCTCCAGGCACAGTCAGCCCATTGTATGCTAATCAAGGTGGTCAGTTGAAAAGATTCACACCTAGCCCAACTTACAAAAGCCTTTTGTCTCACCCTGGTCATTCCACAGATATATAAACCCCTTTTTTCCCAGCTCCAGCAGACCTCACCTCTGAGGAAGCTTGCCATAGATGCAGGCGAAACGTCAGGAGAAATGCCTCTAGAACATGGCCATATAGCCCGAAAAAACCCACAAGAACTGAGTGATTCCGGCCATGAAAGCCTTCGACAATACAATAATAATAATAATAATAATAATAATAACTTTATTTGTACCCCGCTACCATCTGCCCAAGGGACTCGGTACAGCTTACATGAGGGCAAGCCCACAGCACATCAATAAACAAAGGCGATAACAAATAATCAATACAAAACAGTTAAAATAAAATAAAATAAAACTCAAAAACAAAAAATACACAATAAGCAATAAACAATAACATACAGCATTTAAAAACCAATGGCCGGGCCAAATGTAATAATTAAAATTTAAAATGCTGGGCATGAACAAGGTAAGGTAAGCTAGGATAGGGTTTTCAAAGAAAGATGAGGGCACGCAGACTTATCCTAAATCAATATTAAAGTGCATTTGAGGGCATATTGCTAAGAGTTTTCCTATTCTGGGAAGGCACACTGGAACAACCACGTTTTCAGGGTCCTCCTAAAGACTGCCAGCGTTGGGGCACGTCTGATGTCCTTAGGGAGTGAATTCCAGAGTGGAGGGGCCATCACTGAGAAGGCCCTCTCCCTCGTCCCCACCAATGGCGCCTGCGATTAAAAGGCAAGGAACAGTTTGTAACTTGTGTTGTTTGCTTTATTTGGAGGGGGAATTCACCAAAAGCAGTAAGAAATGGCTTAAAATAATGAGGGGAGTTAATCCTCACAGAACGTTCCACCCCAGATTATTTCCCCACTCTCTCCAGTAATGCTATGTGTTGCTTCAGTGTCCTTATATTACTTTAAAAAAGCAGAGGTCCCTCCTCCCTTCCTCCCTTTATAGTAATGTTGTTCCTTGCAACATGCTCTGGCTACTAACTGTCATCCTATCATAGACTTCATGACATGGCTGTGTTGCTGCCTCTGGTACTGTCCTTGATCCCACTCCCCCTTTGTAATTGAAACCCAGTTACCTGCAGCCTCTCCAAGATTATTCTGGTCTCATGTTGCTTCCGTTGGGCATTCTGTGCTTGGCGATGTAGTGTCTGCAAACCCTCCTCATAGATGTCAGTCCTGCGTCTGATCTTGTCAAGCTTCTGTGCTGTGGAGCCATAGAGCTCATGCAGTGCTGTACTGAACTGCATCACCCCATAGACCAGAATGTCGACTTCATTCTGCGGAGCCAGCTGCTGAGCTCCAGTTAGGACAGGGGCAGCCATGGCTGCATAAGGGAGCAGGATGCTCAGGGAGAGGAACATCAGCATTTCTGTGGCTGGCCCAGGAGAGAAGCAGAGCAACTGGAGTCTGTCCCTTATATAGGGAAGATAGGAGGGGTCAGATAGGAAAGCAGCAGATGGTATTGATCTGAGATCTTTACCAAGCACTCCTCACCCTATGCCCTGACTCCTGATTTTTCCAGATCTTAATGAATCAGCAGTTATTTTGAATCTGGGATGTCGTCCCACATTTCACTGTCGGGGCATTGATCTCATAGTCCTGGGGCAGCCAAGTTTCACAAGACTGGCAGACAAGGATGGTAGCCAATTACAACAGGAAGCCAAGTTTCACAAAGCTTGCAAAGAGTGGGATCTGATTATAACAGGGGCATTTGATGGTCAGCAACCCAACTATGGGTAAAATTTGTTCTGGCCTATTATGTAAATAACTCCAGGAACTGGAAGGTTATGTGAATGCAGAATGTCTGCCCAAATGATGACCATGCTTGCCATGCCTGGACTGGCAAGAGTAAGTATGGAGCAATGTTATGTAACGTGCTGCCCCTTGGAGCAGCTGACACATAGGCACTGCCATGCCCGAGTTAATTAATAGGTTAATGGACATTCCAAGGTTTTAGGAAGTGCAATAATTCTTGAGGGAAACAACTTTAAGGGAAGAAGCAAACTTATCCCAGGGAAGACTGCTTTTGTAGGGATGTGCAGGATGGTGTTCCAAAGGTTTTCACTATTCTGTAAATTCAGAACTAGTTCCTATTAAACTATTCTTAGTTCTTCTGAAGCTGGTGAAAAAATTAGTTACTGATTTTCAGCAGTTATGGATTGATCTTTCAACTAGAGTGGGCGAAAGCAAAGGCAAGAGAATGTAAATATCTGTATACGTGCACTCGCTTCCTCCCCATGCACCTGTGTAAAGTTTTCTTTTTTTCTTGCAGGAACTTGCTGTATGTTTACCCACAAAACCTGAACTTCAGCAGCCGCCAGGGCTCAGTGCGGAATATTGCCGTAAAACTCCAGTTCATGGCTGGAGAGGACCCTAGCCAAGCCATGCCAGTGAGTGAGACCAACTCTGCTGCTTGTCCCTTCAGATCCTTTGTGGCTTTGTTGGCCTTGTGAAGCAAATGGAAGCCAAGGGAGGGAAAATGTTCACTTGGGGGGTGCTGCATTAACACAGGACATTCCAGCTTGCCAATATCTCTCTTCCATTCTGGGCACCACAATTGAAGAGAGATCTTGACAAGCTGGAATGTGTCCAGAGGAGGGCGACTAAAATGATCAAGGGTCTGAAGAACAAGCCCTATGAGGAGTGGCTTAAGGAGCTGGGCATGTTTAGCCTGAAGAAGAGAAGGCTGAGAGAAGATATGATAGCCATGTATAAATATGTGAGAGGAAGTCACAGGGAGGAGGGAGCAAGCTTGTTTTCTGCTTCCCTGGAGACTAGGATGCGGAACAATGGCTTCAAACTACAAGAAAGGAGATTCCATCTGAACATGAGGAAGAACTTCCTGACTGTGAGAGCCGTTCAGCAGTGGAACTCTCTGCCCCAGAGTGTGGTGGAGGCTCCTTCTTTGGAAGCTTTTAAACAGAGGTTGGCTGGCCATCTGTCGGGGGTGCTTTGAATGCAATTTTCCTGCTTTTTGGCAGGGGGTTGGACTGGATTGCCCATGAGGTATCTTCCAACTCTATGATTCTAGGACACCTTTCCTTGATGTTTATCTCTAAGACAATCTTTCTACTTTTCAATTTATCCTGACACAAACTGTAGGAGACAAATAGCTATTAGGGTTCTAATTTCTGCGGAAGTGTTCCATGCTCCTTAGATGTAATAGAGATATTTCCTTTAGCTAATTACAGGGAGCATAATATTCCCTTGCTAAAACAGCTGCACTGGCTATGTGTTTCCCGGCCCAATTCAAAATGCAGGTCATTACCTACAAAGCCCCACATGGTTCGGCTCCAGCCTATTTGTGTGACTGTGTTTACCCCTAAGAACCTCCCCAAGCCCAGAGATCTGCTTCTCACAGTCCCACCTCTGTCACAAGCATGGTTGGTGGGGATGAGGGAGAAGGCTTTCTCAGTAGTGGCCCCCCAAGTTTTGAAATTCCCTCCTCAAGGAGATCAGATTGGCTTCCACACTAATGGCCTTCAGGAAGGGACTAAATTGTGGCTGTAGAAGCAGGCCTTTGAAAGTAATTAATTTCTTAATTATGGAAGTGCAATCGGGACCATTGGCTTTTGCTGTTCACACCAACAAGAGCAAGTTGTATAATGTTTTGAACATGTTATATGTCTCCAGTATTTTTAGGTTTGTATAGTTATGTGTAAAATAATAATAATAATAACAACAACAACAAATTTATATTTATATCCTGCCACTATCTAATATATTTGTGAGCTATACTTAATTTGTTTACTGTTATTTATTTTCTTTGTAATTTACGTGTTTACTTCTGTTGTTTGCTATGTTTCTGCTTCCCTGACTCTTGTTGTAAACCACTCTGAGTCTCCTTGGGGAGATGGGGTAGGGCATAAATAAAGATTATTATTATTATTATTATTATTATTATTATTATTATTATTATTATTATATTACTTTCTGAATTGATTAACAAAAAAATCATCATACAGAGACATGAAGGGGGGAGAGTTTCAACCCTTCCTTCCCTCTCTTCCTCCTCCCCCCCCCCTTCCCCAGGAGACCACTGATGTGGAAAACATTGAGACAAGTATTAGAAGGAGCTTCTTTCAGTGGTGTGTCAGTGCCCTCCTCTCTATGGCTGGTTGGACTTCATTCTCCTCATCTCTAGCCAATACTGTTTTCATCTTTCCTAACACCCCAGGTTATCTTTGGAAAATCGAGTTGCAGTGAATTTGCTAAAGAAGCCTACACAGCGGTTGTGTACCATAACAAGTGAGTGTAAAGCAATAAGAGCATTGGACAAGATACTTGTTGCGAGAGGGATGGGTGAGCTGGTTGCCTGGTCAGGATGATGGGTGCTCTTGATTAGAAAAGAGATCTCCTATGTGCTTCCCTTATTGCAACAGCCTTAGCTCTTTTGGAAATGGATAATTACATTCTTCATCCCATTTGTCATCTCTGGGAGACTGGAGCCCTTTCTCAGCCAGTGCTATGTTTCAGCGGGTTAATGGGATATCTATCACCCCATCCCTAGATCTCCTGAATTCTGTGAGGAGTTCAAGCTGAAGATCCCAGCCAACCTGACAGACAACCACCACTTACTCTTCACCTTTTACCATATCAGCTGTCAGCAGAAGCAGAACACACCTCTGGAGACTCCTGTGGGCTACACGGTAAGCAAATGCAAAACTGTCTGAGATCCACAGCTTAGAGGCAGGCCTTCTACTTTTCCTCAGAACTGATCACATTCAAACTCCTGTGTCTCCTGTGATGGAGGGTCTCTGGTCATAGGACAGGAATACTATTTGTGTTAAGACCATGCAAAGCAACTTCTGCTAGACTGAGACACGGTGTCCTGACACTGTTTAAGATCATATGTTCAGTAGTGCCCTTTGAATCCCCTTCCAACTCCTGACATGAATTTCCTTGTTCATCAGTCAAGTATAGAAGACAGAAGAGCAGATTAATAGTAACAATCTTTCTCTTATTTGGGAAATATTTGCTCTCTCTTTCTTAGACATATTGGCACAAGCCACATGAGGGGAAGGTGAATTTTTGTAAAAGGGTCACAGATGTAATTGCTCATCCTCTCTCTGGTCTTTTTTCTTCTTTTCTGTGTCTAGTGGATCCCCCTCATGCAGCATGGCCGGCTGAGAACAGGGCAGTTTTGCCTTCCTGTATCAGTGGACAAGCCTCCGCCCAGTTACTCAGTCCTCACCCCTGATGTAAGTAATGCATGTTTACTTTAAGGCCAATGAATATGTGGAGTCTCATGAAGGGTGCTCACCAGTGGTTCCACTTCACCCTGGAATGAAGTGACTAGTGAAGTGCTGTAGGGTTTTGTCCTCGGCCCAGTACTGTTCAGCATCTTTATTAATGTCTTGGATGAAGTTTTAGAGGACATGTTGATCAAGTTTGCGGATGACACCAAATTAGAAGTGATAGCCAATATTCCAGAGGACAGGATCAGGATTCAAAGGACCTCAACAGATTAGAGAGTTGGACCAAAACTAACAAAATAATTAACAAAATGCATTTCAGTGTACTTAGGCAGAAAAAATGAAATGTACAAATACAGAATGGGGGATGCCTGGCTCGATAGTAGTACGTATGGAAAAGATCCTGAAGTTTTAGTGGACAACAAGTTGAACATGAGCCAACAATGTCATGCTGCAGCTAAAACAGCCAATTGGATTTTGGACTTCATCAAAAAGTGTCTACATCAAGGGAAGTCATGGTGTCCCTCATTCTTCTTCGGTTAGACCTCACATGGAACACTGTGTCCAGTTCTGAAATACGGTGTCCAGTTTAAAAGAGATATAGACAAGCTGGGAGGTGTCCAGAGGAGCAGACTTAGAATCATAGAATCCTAGAGTTGGAAGAGACCTCATGGGCCATCCAGTCCAACCCCCTGCCAAGAAGCAGGAATATTGCATTCAAAGCACCCCTGACAGATGGCCATCCAGCCTCTGTTTAAAAGCTTCCAAAGAAGGAGCCTCCACCACACCCCAGGGCAGAGAGTTCCACTGCTGAATGGCTCTCACAGTCAGGAAGTTCTTCCTGATGTCCATCTGGAATCTCCTTTCTTGTAGTTTGAAGCCATTGTTCCATGTCCTAGTCTCCAGGGAAGCAGAAAACAAGCTTGCTCCCTCCTCCCTGTGACTTCCTCTCACATACTTATACATGGCTATTTATACTTTTTTTCTGCTGCCCTTCAAACTAGGACTCAGAGCAGTGGGTTCAAACTGCAGGAAAGGAGATTCCGCCTGAACTTTAGGAAGAACTTCCTGACCATATGAGCTGTTCAAAAGTGGAACTCTCTGCCTTGGACTGTTGTGGAAGCTCCTTCCTTGGACACTTGTAAACAAAGTCTGGATGACCATCTGTCAGGGATACTGTGATTGTGCTTTCCTGCATGGCCTTAGAACATGTGAGGAAAAATACTTCAATAATGTTCCATTAATAAAAATGACCTTCAACAAGTGTTTCAAAAAATTCAAGTTCAATTGACATCCAAAAATTGGAGTGAAACAGGCCTATGTGGTCTCTTCCAATTCTATTATATGATTCTATGATTCTTCATGTTCCCATCGAATCAAATCCCCTCTGTATCAAGCATACCCACTGTTAAGAAGGCAGGGAACCCATTTTCTGCACTAAAGTAAGTATTTGCATTTCTTCTGACAGGAAGCATAAACAATGCCTAACTTTGCCCATAACTTTCCTTCTCCACTATGCTTCCTTACAGGTACAACTACCCGGAATGAAGTGGGTGGATAATCACAAAGGTGTTTTCAATGTGGAAGTCCTGGCAGTCTCTTCTGTCCACACTCAGGTAAAAGAAATGAAGGGTTGAGTTGAGTTCAGTTGAGTAGTTTTTATGGCACTTTCACTCCTCTATCAGCCTTGTTGTCTGCAGTCCTTGAACTTGAGCTTGAAAATGACTGCTAGCTCCCCTCTAGACCGGGGGTCCTCAAACTTTTTAAACAGAGGTCCAGGTCACAGTCCCTCAAACTGTTGGAGGGCTGGATTATAAATCTAAAATCAGTTCTTTTTTTCTCAGCCAGTAAAATCAAGAAATACTTCCTTGAAAAATTTAAATTTTCCTTGACTACTTTAAATGTATGAAAAGTATGTGATGAGGAACTATACCTTTTGGGCTAGGATTCTGAGCTGGACTCGGTTTGGCAATTCTGTCCTAATACCTTTCAGAAATAATCTTAAATCCCACAAGTAAATAAGATTGAGGAGATCCTGCACTTTCCTTAATGCTTGGAACACATAGAATGGAATAGAATAGAATAGAATAGAATAGAATAGAATAGAATAGAATAGAATAGAATAGAATAGTGGGTTGTTGTAGGTTTTTCCGGGCTATATGGCCGTGTTCTGGAGGCAATTTTTCTCCTGACGTTTCGCCTGCATCTATGGCAAGCATCCTCAGAGGTAGTGAGGTCTGTTGGAAGTAGGAAAAATGGGTTTATATATCTGTGGAATGACCAGGGTAATGTTTCAGCTGATCACCTTGATTTGCATTCAATGGCCTGGAAGCGCCTGGGGGGAATCTCTTGTTGAGAGTGAATTGATGTGCCTGATTGTTTACTCTCTGTTGTTTTGCTGTTGTAATTTTTGAGTTTTTTAATACTGGTAGCCAGATTTTGTTCATCTTCATGGTTTCCTCCTTTCTGTTGAAATTGTCCACATGCTTGTGGATTTCAATGGCTTCTCTGTATATAGAATAGAATAGCTTTATTTGTCACTGTGCTCTTGCACAACGAAATTATATGCCTTCCCTCACATACACCACAAAACAGCAAATCAATCCCTTCACACCACCATCACCACAACACAGCCATCAATGCCACATCAATATGCAACCATAGAATTCAACATAGCTACAGCTCTAGGATGAAAACTAACCTTCAGTCAATTTGTCCTTGTCTTTGTTATCCCGTACCATTTGCCAGATGGCAATAATTCAAAAAAAGAATTTTGGGGCTTGCACAAATCTTGGCCTGGCCTTTTAAATTTTTAAATTGCTTTGAACAGGCAGGATTACTTTTAATATATGTGTGTTATGGCGACAATTTTTATGCTTATATTTTGTTTCGTTAATCTTATGATTATGCTGTTTTTTACTTTGTATGTTTTGTGATGTTACCTGGGAACCGCTCTGAGTCCCCTTGGGGAGATGGAGCGGTATATAAATAAATTATTATTATTATTATTATTATTATTATTATCATTATGCCGAATGAGATGGATCCCTAAGAATGGTCTGAGCTTTCTTAAGGCAGCGGGAATTATAAAGTTCTTCCAAAGAGAGGAGAGGGCAACCAATGATTTGCTGTGCAGAAGTGGTGACCCTGTACTGTATTAGTGATACCAATAAGGATTTTGAATGTTGAATTACATCCTAAATGGACCATCCTTTGCCCTGGCAGGACCCATTCCTGGACAAGTTCTTCACTCTGATCCATGTGCTTGAAGAGTACACTTTCCCCTTTCGGCTAAAGGACGTGATCCTGACAGAGAACAACATGGAATCAGAATTGAAATCTAGCGTGGGCAACCTTCGGGTGGCTAGCCTAGAGTCCCTTGTTGCCTTTAGCCATCAGATCCTCAACAAGTTGATCCAACTCATTGTATACCCACCTGTCATCGCAGGACAGATTGGTGAGTGTCACAACATGTTCTCTTTGACATCATATGTGTAGTTGGGTCGGCTGACAACCAGAAAGCAGTAGTGGAGGCTGGATCACAACAGTCATAATAAAAGAAAGGTAAAGACAGGATACGGGTAGGAAAAAATAGCTGCTGGAATAAATGCTGATTACATTGGAAACAGGAACAAATGTTTTTTTTCTTCAAAAAAAGCATAGCAGAAGAAAGAGATGAATACAACCATATCTGTGTGAGATTGATTTCATGAGCTCCTGTGAATGTCCCAAAACTTGCATGCTTAAATCCCATGTAATAAGAGATAAGAAGTGAGCTTGAATGCCATCAAATCCTTTCCACCACACCATGCACACTCTGAATGTGGCAGCTGCCAGCATGTGTAAACAACTCAGCTCTCCATCCCTAGTCTTACAACCAGTTTCCGATCCCTCTCCCACCCCACATCCTCCGTGTTGGAGCAGGCTTACACCTCTGCTCTTTTCTCTGCTTGGTTCTTATCAGTGAACTTGGGCCGTGCTGCCTTTGAAGCCATTGCTGTGATGGTGAACCAGATCCACAAGAGCCTGGAGAATAGCCAAGACCAACATGGTCGCAACCATCTTCTGGCCTCTTACATCTTCTATGTTTTCCGTCTGCCAGTCGCAGAGCTAAGCTTGCCAGGTAAGTCTTGGTATTTATTCAGGAGAGGGAATGATGCTAAATGCTTTGCTTCATGTTAAACTGTGCCTTTCCTTCTGGTATGTAGTTCAGGGAGATACATAGTTTTCAGAGTTGAGCAAAAAAATTATTATATGAGCATCAAGAACCAGTGTGCAGTAGGACTCTGGAGAACAGGGTACAAACCCTTCACTGGCCATATAAAGCCACTGGGCGTCCTTGGGCAAGTAACGCTGTCTCCGCGTCAGAGAGATGCAAAGGCAATTTTTCTGTGATGGATTATGCAATTATGAGAAAACGGAGAGACTAATTACAATTGATTTGCAAGAGACTAATTGCACGGAAAGGATAAGAATTTGCAAGTCAATAAGAAGATTTTTATTTTTATTTTCAATTTTTTTCTTTTTTTTCTTTTCTTTTTTCTTTTTCTTCTTTTTTCTCCGTTATTTATATATATATATATGTGTGTGTGTGTGTGTGTGTACACACACACATACACACACACACACACAACACACTTTTTCTACCATTTTCCCCATTTTTTTCTTTCCCTTTCTTTTTTTATATTTTCTATTTTTATTTCTTATTTCAATTTTTTGCCTTTCATTCCCCTTTAGCCCTTTTACCCCCACTCCCATTAGTAAGGAAACCTCCGTACCCCTTCTACCACAGTTAGCCTCCTTCCCTTTTTCCTTTTTACCAATCTAATTTTCCTACCCCTTTTTACCTACCCCCTCCTACTCCCCCCTTTTTTCTTCTTCATCCCTTTTTTTCCTTCCCCCCTTTCCCCCCCCTAAACAATCAATAATTTTTTTTTAATTCTGTGATACGTTCAGTTTAAGTTAGAAACAAATCGAAAGAATACAACAAACGGCATTACAAACAGTAAAGTTGTTTCCTCTGCGTGGTCCTGTGAAATGCACACATATGGGTTTCTGTGCCTGCGCAGACAGTTTCAGAACCTTCTAGAATTTTAAAGATACTTTTTGGCGGTAGCACCGCCCATTCTCCCCTGATAGTATAAATAGCCAGTAGGCGGGGCTGCCAGCCAGTTTTTCTCTTTCTGCCGCGAAAAGCAAGAGGAAACCCGTTTACATGTAAGCAACCAAAGTTTCCTCCATATGCTCATAGTTGTTTATTTAGCAATGAGAACAGTACATTCCTTTAATAGGCAAAATATGGACACTCTTAATATTTCTTATTGAAGGAAAGTCTTCACTTAACCAATCATTAAAGTTTAGCCGCATAAATGCATTGTGAACAGAGGTGGTCACTTGCCACATTATGTGACAGGATGAACTCACTTAACTCCTTCTGTGCTTTTGGCACATTGTTAAAAAACTAAGTTCAGAAACTAACAGTTGCTTTAGGGTTGGACTAAATAGAAGGCAATTAGAATTCCTCTCTGTTTTTTATAGAAAGAGAAGAGTTTCCTTTAGCAATTGGTAAGGAATAATTTGAAAGTGGTTAGCAAATGCCACCTGAAATTTTAATCTTTCTGAGAGCTCAAAATGAGTACTCTTCTTTTGACCAAGGAAGCATGATGGCTATAATCTCATAATTGTGTAGATTGGAAAGGTCTCAGTCTTTCTCTTGTTCTTCCATCCTCTCCCACCCCTAGGTTTAATTAGGTAGGGTTGGGGCTTGCTACTATAGTTCTGTTAATCTTTCTTCTACCATTTCCTGGCCTGGTACCAAGAGCAAAAAACACAGGTTATATCTGGTGCCTAAGAACAAGACAGTTGGATAGAAATTGTGGCTCTGTGTTCCTTCATGGGCTAACAAGAGCCTCTCCTCAAAGGAGACCTATATTTGCATCCTACAATGATAGTGCCTGCTCTGCAGCACTTGTCAGAGGCTGCCAAGAAGCAGGTGGTCCAAGGCTCGTCCCTTCTGTCTTGAGGTACAGTACAATGGGAAAGGCAGGGGCAATGGGAAATGAGACCAGAAAAAGAGGCAAACTTGGATGGAAAAATCCCAGAGGCTGTGCAGTCTCAGCCCATAGATAAGCCATCTGCAGAGGGCAAGCGTCTTGGGCTGTCTGACCTCCCTTAATATAATAATAATAATACACTTATTATCCGACTCTCCTTCCAGATCAAGGCAGAACACAAATTTGTTAAATGAAAGAGATTAAACACTATGAAGTTAAAATTAAAACGCAGGTTAAAATTCATTGATGAATGCAGATTAAAATTCACAAGTTAAAATTGACTGGGTAGTTCTGTGTCTTAAATTTTGACAGCTGATTTAGCTGTTGGATCTCTCCCAGCAGTTCATTCGACAGGCTTGGGGGCAGCCGATGAAAAGGTCCCCTTGGCGATGATTGGCAGTTGGGTTCTGGCTGGATGGAGTAGACATTCCCCAGAGGACTTCAGTGAAGGGACCATGGATTGTATGGGAGATGACAATCCTGTAGGTAACCTGGACCCAAGCCATGTAGGATTTTAAAGGTCAAAACCAACATTTTATCCTTTGCCCAGAAATGAACTGACAAGTTAATAATGACACCCAGGGTGCCCCTATCCCATAGCAGTGTACATTTCCAGGGCATATCAGTGTGTTGCCATCTCTCAATATCCCTTGATTGAACTTCTCATATGTATGTTTTACAGAGCCTGGGATGCCACCCCAGACTGGTCCCATCCAGTATGCCACCCTGTCCCGCACAACAGGACGCCCGGTCAGCCTTAATCTCTCTCGTTCCAAAAGCATCAGTAATAGCAACCCTGATCTGACAACCACCCCAAACTCCCCAGATGAGGAAGTTCAGAAAATCATGGGCAGCAAGGTAAGTCTGAAGAATATGAGACGGGGCCCTCTTGATTTCTCTCATCGCCAGACTACCGGTTACAATTCCTACTGCCAGTGAGAGCAACAATAAGGGGTGATGCCCAAAAGGTATTCACCAGTGCCTGTACTGTATGTACCTCAGGAATCTTGAAATGTGGTTGTATAGACAATGGAGAAATCTTGGGGCAACCACCTCATAAAAAAGACCAAGTATAAAGTAACTGAAAAAACTAAACTGTAGAAAGACTTCTTCAAATTGGATTCCCACCTTTTCAGAATACGGTACTTTATCCTATAACATGTACACATTTACTAAACATTAATCTGTTCACATTTTTTTTCTCAGGGGAAGAATTGCAAAAGTAAAGTGGGATTCATGCCAAATTTGGTACCACTTTCTTAGCTGTCGGTCCTACCATCTACCAAAGTCCCTCCACAGTCATGCATCCTCCAAAGCAGGGAGGCAGGAGAGCAACTGATAATTGGCGTAGAAATTACTGCATAGAAATTTCATTGTTGCCTCCCCTCACTTTTTCTAAGTGAGAAGTTCAAAGGAGTTATAACACCCAGTGCAGGCACCCTGAGGTTTCAGGACTCAAGGTCTGGACTCAGTTGCCTCCTTGAAATGCTGTGCTGGGTTTGCTCTGCTACTCCTATGTTTTCCTAGAAGGCAAAGGAGCACCTCGTGTCAGCCAGCCTTTCGTTCAGGGACCCACAAGCATCAGAGAAGGGACCTTGCCCCAATGTCATCTGATCTGTAGGAAATGATTTCCAAAGAGGGTGAGATCTGGTGCACTACTTTTGTTCTAATGGCACCTTCTGGTGCAATATTTTACTGAAGTCTTCACGTTATTTTTATGTTCCTCCTCATCTCTCCAATTATTTCAAAAGGCTAAGCATTTTGGAAAATTAGAACACTTGAACAATAACATTTTCAAATGGTTTTCAGTTTTAAGTCAAATAGTTACACTTAATGAAGAAGAATTAAAATAGTGGCCTAAACTAAACTAAGGATTCTATTCAAGTTTAACTCACTTTGAACTTTGTGAAAGAGAGATAGGTTTATGGCTTTAAAAGGGATTGGCAGTTACATCCCATCAGCCCTGGCCAGTATAGAGAATCATGAAAGATTAGAGGACTTCCAAATGAATCTGGATTACTGCAGTTGCCCACCTCTGTCCTAATAGGAAAATGAGGTATAATGATGATGATGATGATGATGATGATGATGATGTCGATGTTGCAATCCCAGGTGACAGCAGGATTGCAGAGAAACAACAGGAAAAACTGACACAATATGAGGATTTAAAGATTGAACTGCAAAGACTCTGGCACAAGCCAGTAAAGGTGATCCCAGTGGTGATCGGCATACTGGGTGCAGTGCCTAAAGACCTTGGCCTGCACATAAACACAATTGGCGCTGACAAAATTACCAGCTGCCAGCTGCAGAAGGCCACTTTACTGGGATCACGCGTTATTGGCCAATACATCACACAGTCCTAGATACTTGGGAAGTGTCCGATGTGTGATCAATTCAACAATCAGCAGAGTGTCTGCTGTGGACTCATCTTGTTGTGTTTCTAATAATAATAATAATAATAATAATAATAATAATAAGCTTTATTTATATCCCTCCCCTCTACCCTAAGGGACTCGGGACTTCATGAAGCAAATCCCTTAGGACAACTAGAGAAAACTAATTCTCACACAATGCTTTCACATGAGTATAATCAGAAATCCCATTTTAGAAAGTTATCTTGTGAGCATACTTTGGGATCTGCCAAGAAGGTGCTTCTCACATTGTCCAACATTGTTGAAAGAGCCTCAGTTTTGTGGCATTGTATCTGCTACAGAATAATTGTTTGTTTGCTCCAGATGCAACTCAACAGTTTCAGCAAGGTAGAGAGAAAGGCCGTCTAGTTTAACATGGTGTCTTCATTTGTGAACAGAATGTAGAAAACCGAAATGTGTTACATCTCATTAATAATAGAAAACAGGAGCCTCCGGTGGTGCAGTGGGTTAAACCCCTGTGCCGGCAGGACTGAAGACCGACATGTTGCAGGTTCGAATCCGGGGAGAGTGTGGATGAGCTCCCTCTATCAGCTCCAGTTCCTCATGCGGGGACATAAGAGAAGACAAAATATCAAGGATGACAAAATATCAAAACAGCAGGGCGTCCCCTGGGCAACATCCTCGCAGATGGCCAATTCTCTCACACCAGGAGCAACTTGCCATTTCTCACGTCGCTCCTGACATGACAAAAAATAGAAAAAATTAATTGTACTTTGAGGTAATTAAGGTTCTCTGCAGTGATATAAAAACGTAAAATACAAATAATAAGCAATAATTAGAGGCAGCTCATAATAAAATAAAGATGGAATCAGCACTAACAATAGAAATACTACACAAAAGTACACCCTAAAAGTAAAATAAGTAAAGTCCTCTTGGCAGCAAACACTTTACAGTTACCCATGCATTGTCTGCCTGAACCATAAAAAAACTATGCCAGCCTCTTCCTAGTCCTTCTTTGTCTTTTTACCTGCTATGGATCTTTATTTTTGCATAGTGATGACTGTTCCAAGGTGAGACAACTGCGTGTTCTCTCTAAATGACAGGCAAACGTCAAAGCACAGCATGGTGACCTTCTAGCTTCCATGACTTTGTTATGTTCAGACTCAAGGGAAACGAGCTGAAATACTGCAAAGCAGTTGCATCAAGTGGCTCTTTCATGGATAAACCCCTTCTGGACAGGATTCTGGTTGAGTAATCAAGTGGCAGGGAGAGAAAAAAAATCTGGGCTCCGTCAATATTGTTCCAGAGGGTTGCATGTAGACCCTACAAATTGTGAGCTCCACTGGGCATAAAACCTAACAAACTAAGAATGGTGGAGTATTTTTCAGAAGTACTTCTGAACTGTTTTTGCAGTGAGCCTGTCTCAAAGTATGAAGTAAGGCCTCTCTTTATGGGTATTCTATGCCCAGTTCAGTATTGCCATCCCTGTATCAATCACTTCCTTTGCTTCATTGACCTGTCCCCAAGTTGATAGTGTATTTTGTAATCAGAATATCATTTGAGCCCCTTTCACCAGAATACTGTGTGGTTATGGGAAACCAAGGGCAAAAGCCCAGTGTGGTCTGTGCTCTTTGCTCTGATTCAACAAAAGAGAGCCTTCGTGTCAAATTGAGAGCTAACATTCCTACTCCTTTGCCTATCCATCAAAGTTTGGGTGGTGGTCCCCTCCTTCTTCTAAACAGTAGCGTCAACGATGCAGCTTTTTCTGCAGAATGTGGGTCCTCTCACTCTGATCTATGTGTCGCAGGTTTGATTATTTTATTTCCTTTCATACTCTTCTTTTGCATACTACCTAGGGGATCGACCGCTCTCACTCCTGGGTCAACTCAGCTTATGCCCCGGGAGGCCCAAAGTCTGTGCTTCGCAGGAATCATCCGAACTCCAGCACGGACCTGAAGCAGGTGCCTTTCCTCTCCTATCCTTGAGCTTGGAGCTTCCCTTGCCTTCCTTCATTGACTTGACTTGCTGGAGGGCAGTTATAATGGTAGCCAGGTTAAGGTTCAAAAATAGGTTTCCTTAAAGACTGAAGTGACTAGTTATTGAACACAACAATTGGGTGTCAATGACATTTTTATGGTATAGGAGCATTTCTACTTGACTGATCTTTAAACTATTGCCAAATTTCCTTTCCTACTTTGAAAGAATAGCATGCATTTTAGTTTTTAGCGTAGCAGATCTGTCTTCTCAAAGAATGCCTCGGTAGCAGGAAGTGACGAAGTCTTCTCTATCCAAGGACAAAGATATTTTAATTTTGTAAGCATTGAGGTCTGGCATTGTCAGGGAAAGAGGTTGGTTTGCAAAAGTCTGCAAGGTCTTGTTTACTTTCGTGACGCAACTTACAGTCTCTTGGCAGTGTAGAACACATTAAAAATAAAGACGTTTTGGTATGGTTTACTGAAGGTTACAGTGTGGTAGATCACTTGGGCCTAGTGCAATACCCCCTCCCCCCGCCAATATTCGTCAGGGTATGGTTTGGAGATTAGGTATCATAATAATAATAATAACACTTTATTTGTACCCCGCTACCATCTCCCCAAGGGACTCGGTGCGGCTTACATGAGGCCGAGCCCAAACACAACAATACAAGCAATAATAACAACAATACAAGCAATTAAAAAACATAAACAATAAAATACCCAACATTATCAATAAGACAACACACAATTAAAACAGTGGGAAGGCCAAATGTAGAGTTAAAATTGGAAATAATGCTGGGACATGGACGAAAGGTGATACTGGTGTTTGTGGAAGGGCATACGAGCAGACCTAAAGAAATGTAAAGTGCTTTGGAGGACAAAGTGCTATAGGAGTCTTATAAGTGGCATGTTGTAACCATGGCCTCTGTCAACCCAGCATCTATATAAATAAAAATGTAATGTTCGTTTGTGGGATTAACATAACTCAAAAACCACTGGACGAATTGCCGCCAAATTTGGCCACAAGACACCTATTCACCCAAGGAGTGACCATCACTAAAAAAATTGATTTTGCCATTTGGGAGTTGTAGATGTTGGGATTTATAGTTTACTTACAATCAAAAAGCATTTTGAACTCCACCAATGATGAAATTGAACCAAACGTGGCACACAGGACTCCCATGACCAACAGTAAACACTAGAAGGGTTTGGTGGGCATTGAACTTGAGTTTGGGAGTTGTAGCTCACCTACATCCAGAGAGCACTATGGACTCAAACAATGATGGATCTGGACCAAACTTGACACTGATACTCAAAATGCCGATTCATATGGACACAGAAAAATCCTCCCTTATGTTCTGCTTTTTTGCTTAAACACTTTTCAAATTGACATACAAAGAAAATGATAAACGTATTGTGTTCCTTCCTCTTGTTAATTTGCAAGAGTTGATGTTGTCTCTGAACAGATGGCTGCTTAAAGTATCAGTATCAGCTTCGGTAGCACATATACTAAAATTGGAATGATACAGAGAAGATTAGCAAGATTCTTCTGTAAAAAGGTTGGGTGCAAGGAGCCACCTGAGCTTTCTTCACTTTTAGGTTTGCTTTTCATGATAGATCATCACTGTCAGGATTCACTGCACTGCATACTGGCATATTTACCCAGGTTGTGTGAATACAGAAATAACGGGAGAAGATAACAGATGTTACATAACTTGTAGAAAAAATCCTTAAATTAGTTTCCATGCCTTTTATTTCAACAAGCTGCTTTGTTTGACATCGTTATAAAGACTTAATATCAAGTTTTGTGTTTTGTGACAGTTTTGTTATTCTTAATGATAAATATTGCCTAGTTGTTATATTAAGGAGCTCTCACAGAGCACTCACATAGGGTAAGAGAGCGGAGGTCCACTTTAGTCCTCTCACATTCATTTAAATGCAAGACATCATAAATGCTTGAGATTCTCCCAGGAACTTAAGAGCAGTCAGCATTAAGATACTTGCTTAATTATCTTCTGCGTGTCAGACATATATTTTGTATGACAACATCAACCATTCTGAAGTGGTTTTCTTAATTATTATTTTCTATATTATTAATCTTTAATCAAGGTGATGCAGAATAAATAGCAGTAAGATTGTATTCACTACAGAAATCTTGCTTATTAATATAGGGTCAGCAGAACTCTGCAACAGTGCCATCTAATGGTATCTCTGTGGGTTACAGATATTCACCTTGTCTACCGCATTTTTCCACTTTCTGGGCTCTTGGAATCTGCACCCACACATTTTAATGAAATAGGAAACGAGCATCCCATCACTACTTGTTTTCACAAAAGTGTTCTTTGGGACCCAAAGCAGCTGAGTAGTAGGGTGAACAGCATTTCAGTGGAGAAGTGTGCACCCTTGAGGCATAATTCTCTTTATTTTCCTGGCAATTGATAGTTCAGAAAGTCCGTGGGACACTCACAAAACATTCCCCAAAATCTACATGTGGCTTATAGGTTGCAAAACTTTCAACTCTGGTGTAGATAGATAGTAGCCAACTTTTAAAGTACTCGTAGATAAATCTAAAAACTTTATTGAAAACAACAGTTCAAAAAACCTGGGTTGATTTATCCACAGGCTAATGTAAGTACTGAATCTTAGCACTTATTTGTTTAAAAGCCATTCCCTTCTCTTGAATTGAGTGGCAAAAGGTGAGAGCTTAGTCTTCCCCAGAAGCACTGACCCTCTGCACTCTCCAATGTGGAACTTTATTTATTTATTGTGTCAGGGGCAGACCAAACAGTTGCATTGCATTTTTTTAACAAACAAACAAAACACAAAATTTGCAAGCTTGGTAGTTGATTAAATGTCCTTTGACCAGTAGCTGGCCACTTGGAGTGACTCTGGTGTTGCTGCAAGGAGGTCCTCCATTGTGCATGTGGCAGGGCTCAGGTTGCATTGCAGATGTGGAGCTGAGTCTGGCCTTTTTGATTGCCTGGGTTGGAAAATAGAGGCAACCGGCCTCCTGAATCAGTGATGGCATTTTCACCTCTCAGTGGAATGACTCTTGTCTTATTCATGGATCATATCTAAATCCATAATTTTGGTCTCCAAACCTGTCCTGGACATATACATAAGGTCAACTCACGCATAAGTATATATGGTAAGGGTGGGTTTAGTTAAATCCAAAAATATAAGGATGTGCCTCCTAAGTGTTGCCTGCAAAACAGATTTCTCATTACTAATCTGGACAACAGTGCAGTGCAGAAGAGGTAGGCAGGAATATTGTGCTCCCTGCTTCTCCAGATGTGCATCAAATGCTTGCCCTGTCTTTGTCATTGCCTCCGCCTCCTCATTGCTGAGGTGTATAACTTTTCTGACTGTGCTTTTTCTTTGTGTAGTACCTATATCCTGTTCTCATTTATTTGCATGTGCATCTTTGGGCATGGAGCTGTAACTCTTTGGATCAGCATCATCCTGCTGAGGCATCGAGTGGATTTGCTTTGCTTTCACATGAAGCTGGATGACACTTGTGACAGCACTTTGACATTGCTTGATCTGTTCAAAATGTATCACATACATTTTGCCATAATCCTCAAATCAGCCCTGTGGGTTAGGGTATTATTATTCCCAGATTACAACGTGGAGCTGAGATTGATGACTAATCTTCCATCATTCATAGGCTGGGGTTATGAAGCAAGTCACAGTATATAACCTGTTATTCTGAAGATCATAACATTTTAATGAAGGGAGAAGAAACATGTCAGCTTTCATGGTGAAGGGGAAAGGCCAATGATCTCACTGGTTTTGCTTATCTTTAATCAGACTTTCATCTTTGTAACCTGTACTTCCTGTACCTACAGGCCTCTTATTACATGTCACCAGAGCAATTTTGCGTGCTTTTGCTTTCACTTTGCCTCAAAATTTGGTTCTGAAAGTTTCTGTTTTAATTTTTTTTATAAAAAAATGTTCTTTTTGTGTTTTTTTTCAGGGAATATTTGCAAAATGTAGAGAAAATCTTTTCTGATGTTCATAGGGCGAAATGTCTTTGTCATGGCCTTCACTTTGCTAGCCTTCCTACTGTCAGGTCACCTCCACCCCATACCTGGCACACACTGTTTATTTACTTTTGGATGAATCAGTCAGGTATAATTAATCCCAGTGGGCAACTATTTGGCTAGTGTGAACTGCTTATCTGCCTAGTATGACATTGCACAAAACCAATTTAAACATTTTTCCTGTTCACCACCATGTCACAGCAATGTCATTTGCCTAAGTAATGTGTATATATAGCACAGGTTGACCTTTTTTGGATTTCATATCAAATTTTGACCGAACTGTATTTTACCTTTATTTTAAAGCAGAATAACTGGTTAATAGACAATGATGTAGGGAAACGAGGTAACTTCAAAACATAGCTTATGAAATGGTTGGTTGGCTGGTTTCAGTAAACAGTTAAGAATGATAGCATTATGGGATTTGGATATCAAGCTGTGAAAGCAAATGCCCGTGGCTCGTGCACAGTACATTAAAGCATCCTTTGAGCACTTCTTGGCCATGAGATTGCAAAGACTTGCCCTTTCCTCAGTCCTAGATATTTGAGCAGATTGTTTTGGGGCTGTACCAGAGGAATGATGATACATTTCACTTGCTACCCTTGCAATGCCTTTGCATGCTTAAATTTACTGGATGGATAAACTCTTCTGTTGCCACAAAGCTGCCTTAGCTCTTTAATTTGCTGGAGGGGAGGCTCTTCCATCAACCATAGGGTATTGCAGAGCCTGACAGCCACTCAAGGAGTCAGTTTGTCATTTTCGGTTTCCTCCTGCCTATTCTAATTGTGGACAATAGGAAGGACTCCTGAGCCAGGGGAAGGGGCGGTTTGGGGGCAGGAAGGAGCATTCAAGGGAATTTGAGTTGGGGGAGGCTGGGTAGAAAGCCTATAGGGCAGGGGTCCTCAAAATAAGGCGTGAGGGCCAGATACGACCCTCCAAGGTCATTTACCCGGCCCTCGCTCAGGGTCAACCTAAGTCTGAAATGTCTTGAAAGCACACAACAACAACAACAACAATCCTACCTAAGCAGGCACTTTCCATTGAAAGGCTAATAAGTTTATAGTTGTTAAAATTGTTCTTAATTTTAATTATTGTATTGTTTTAAAGTGGTTTTTTGGACTACAAATTAGAGATGTGCAGTGTGCATAGGAGATCATTCATCTTTTTTTCCAAATTATAATCCAGCCCTCCAACAGTTTGAGGGACTGTGACCTGGCCCTCTGTTTAGAAACTTTGAGGACCCCTGCTATAGGGCATTAAATAAATTAGCAACTTAAAGAAAATGGGAAGGGAGATACTCTTTAACTCTCTTGCTCAGTGGTTAAGCTTCCTGTATCCTGGCAGCAACATTGAGCAAAACATTCATGGGGCGCCTTGAAGTCATCTGAGCAACAACCCTAGGGCTGGTTACCTGGCAAATTCCACTTTCCTTGCTTTCAAGCAAAGTACCTTTGGCTTTCAGATTCTGAGCTGCCTCCTCAGGTAAGGAGGCCAGGCTGGTTTTCTTCAACTATCACCTTGCCATTTCTTCCATTCTGAGAAATACCCTCTTTACCACTATCGTGTCCTCTTCTTTTCTCTCTTGCTGCTCCTCATCTCACAGGCTGCCGAGCGAGCACCTAATCGTATCTCCTCCTATCTTGAGGGCTCCACTTTTCCTCCGGCCATCCCGATGAGACCAACGACCAGAAAGGTAGAGAAGGACTGGGAAGCTTCCAAGAAATATTGTCTTAGCAGTCAGACTTCATCTATGATATGATGCACACTTGGGGAGTTAGTTAAATTTAACGGTATGACTTACTTCCCAAGAGAGACACATAGTTTGGGGGCTGGTTGGCTTTTGGTGGAGGAAGAGTTATGCCAGGTGATGGAATTCTTGAACAATGTTTTGTGTACTATAAATGAATGATACCAAATACTGATGGATCTTCAGCATGATATGGACCCTTGGATAATTCTCATATATCCATAGCTGGGTTATATCATTACAGTAATTGTTGCAGGGATCAAACTACATTTGATTTCAAAAAGTCCATTCTGCTTATTCTCATCACACATCATTCTTGCTTTGCCTTTTCACTCCTGTCCCTTCAGCATTGTTGTCAGTAACATTCCTCTTTTTTCCTGGCTGAGCTGGTACTCTGATTCTTCCATTCATAATGCCTAATTTACCTGAAGCTCCCTCTCAGTCCCACCACCCTAATCCACTGTTGATAAAGCCACAGTACTTATCAGGAATGTGTGAGTGGACTCAGGTGTCCATAGTTGCATACAAGCAATCTTAAGATGAGTGTTGCTCCTAGATGAGCTTTGGATTGGAATTAGGAGAGAAAAAAGTTTGGATTTTTATTGCTTTGGTTCAAGTGAAAAACTACTAACTCCTAATAAAAAGAAATGACAGAGGGGGGGGGATACAGATTTGGAATGTCACATTCTGAATGCCTAGTCTAGACTGGACTACTGTAGCCAAATAATGGTGTTTTAAGAATTTTAAAAAGGAAACATTTGAAGTGTGTATGTGTGTGTGTGTATGCATGTATGTGTTCCATATCCAAGCTTCCAGAAAGCCTGCAGTAAAACGTACAATTCATCTCTCAATGACTACATTTATTGCAGGCTTTCCCTTCAGAATTTGACTGTCCTAGCTGATGATGCTGAAGACAGAATAAACATAAGAAATGTGTTGAATGGCATCAATATGCCAGGAGCATTTGTCCATGAACGTTGATTAAAGATGAATGATTCCACAAACACAAAACATTCATTAGGATCCTGCTGACTGAGTGTGTGTTTTAAAACCTGGTTCATGTCCCAGCCATGTCTAAGCTCCCTTTGGTCTAGGAGGTAGACAAGCATCACCTTTGATGGAAATAGCAAGAAGAGTGGTAATTGTTTTCAGTGAGGGAACCAGACTGCTATAAACTTAGTTTGGAGAATCAGGAGTGTAGATGAGGGCTGTTTTATCAGTTTTTCTCTCTCTTTGTGGCTTGAAGGTATGGCTCACTGCAACAGTCCTAGGCTGTGACTACAGAATTGGCTCTGCAAAGATGGCCCTGGCTTTTTAGAAAGGTGGGCCAGGCCCCTGCTCCCTTTGTAACTCTCTGTCTTTTGCTGTCTGGAATCACAGCTGCTTCATGAAGAACTGGCCCTGCAGTGGGTAGTGAGCACCAGCTCTGTGCGGGAGGCCGCCTTGCACCAGGCCTGGTTCTTTTTCCAGCTGATGGTAGGTTCTTTTCACTGCTGATATATCTAAACTGAATATCTTGTGATTAGGAGTATCCCTGATCTGGTTACTTGCATAGTTGTTGTCCCTTTTGGATTCGTACTTTGGTTTACAGTAGTCACTTTTTTGCTTTGCACAAATAGAAAGTTGTGTGTGAAGAGGGTGAGCTGTTTTTTTTTTGCTATCAACCTTGATGGCTTTTTAAAAAGTTCTTTGACACCAGAAGAATAGATGTGCAGTTGCACCTGGTACTGCATGAAAACAGCTTCATAATTACACAGGTTTCACTTATTGTGGAGCAGATCAAAATATTTTAAGGACCATGCCTCCTATGCTGGGGAACTTCTGATAGGAAATGAATTTGTTGAGATTAACTTCACAATTCAGCAGCAGATCAGTTGCACAACTTCAGCGCTTTCCAGTGGCTTCTTCCTGCACAGTATTTTCAGTCAACTGCTCCCACAGCCTGCAGTCACTCTGGAACCTTTTACAGACACTTGAGCACATGCCCGGCCATTGTCAGTTTTACCATTGTCTTTCCCCCAGTCTATTACAGACGTACCACAGCACACAGTTATATCTTGTCTTAAGAGACATAGCAATTGTATAGAATTGTATCATGTACAGTGTATATTTCTCCTTGTGCTATGATGTTGTTCGTCGAAGACTCTATGTAATATACAATTCTATACAATTACACATAGCAA